CGGCCTGGCACCACGGCCCCTCCAACCCCCTGGTCCTTAACTACGCTTTTGTTTAACTCTTGAGTGTTCTTAACTGAAACTAGCATCTGTTCTATTTTCAGCAAAAGGAGATCTTTTCAGGGCTAAAGGTGGCTCTCGGAACTGCCGAGAGGGCCCAGAGTCTCAACTCCGCTTCCTGGAAGGACCGGCGCAGAGCAGGGCCCTGTGTAGACCTGTCAGCTGAGGTCCGCTGCCCAGGGCTTGGCCCCCACCTCCTTGCCTGGACCCACCGGCCGGTGTTGGTCTGCAAGGAACTTCCTCTTTGTCAGAAGCGGGATTGGCTTCAGTATTCACTTCAGATGCTTTAGTGCTTCTCTGCTTTTAATTAAAACCGATTGTAGGCAGCTTTGCCCACTGTAATCTCTTTCTGTATCCAGTGCAACTTCTTACACTCACCACCTCCTGCCCAGCACACCAGGATCACTCGCTGCCTGGTTTCCAGCCTCCAGTCACGTGCCCACCCTGGCCCCTCCCACCTGCCCTCCGTCCTGCAGCCCCCGAGCCTCTGACCTCAGCACCCTCAGCTCCTGTGGGTCCCCACTGCCCTCAGGACTGAGCCTGGACCCTGTCTGTGGGCCTCTCCGGCTGCCTCCTCTGTTACCCGGCAGCCACACCCCGCACCGTGGGCTTGTTGGACCCCTTTCCTGTCTCTGGACTTTTTCTTTCTTTTTTTTAAAAAATTTTTTTCTCATTTATTTTTATTAGTTGGAGGGTAATTACTTTACAATATTGTAGTGGTTTTTGCCATACACTGACATGAATTAGCCATGGATTTACATGTGTTCCCCATCCTGAACCCCCCTCCCACCTCCTTCCCCATCCCATCCCTCTGGGTCATCCCAGTGCACCAGGCCCGAGCACTTGTCTCATGCATCCAACCTGGGCTGGTGATCTGTTTCACACTTGATAATATAAATGTTTCAATGCTATTCTCTCAGATCATCCCACCCTCGCCTTCTCCCACAGAGTCCAAAAGTCTGTTCTATACATCTGTGTCTCTTTTTCTGTCTTGCATATAGGGTTATCATTACCATCTTTCTAAATTCCATATATATGTGTTAGTGTATTGTATTGGTGTTTATCTTTCTGGCTTACTTCACTCTGTATAATGGGCTCCAGTTTCATCCATCTTATTAGAACTGATTCAAATGTATTCTTTTTAATGGCTGAGTAATACTCCATTGTGTATATGTACTATAGCTTACTTATCCATTCTTCTGCTGATGGGCATCTAGGTTGCTTCCATGTCCTGGCTATCATAAACAGTGCTGCGATGAACATTGGGGTGCACGTGTCTCTTTCAGTTCTGGTTTCCTTGGTGTGTGTGCCCAGGAGTGGGATTGCTGGGTCATATGGCTGCTGGTCCCAGCCAGACTGTGAGCGCCCCAAACGTGAGGGTGGTGGCTTTCCTGCTTCAGGCCAACACCCTGTAGAGCCAGAGGATGCTCAGTGCCCGTGATGTGACTGGATCAGTGAGCGCGGCCGGAGCTCACACAGAGAGGACGTGCCACACACACACAGCAGGCACTTTCCTTCGGATGGGCTATGTCTCTGCACACTCTGACACCAGGATTTTTAAACAGTTTTATTGAGGAATCATTGACGTCTGATAATCTGCACACACGTAAACTGTACAAATTGATAAGTTTTGACATTTATATACACCCCTGGAACTAACAGCACAATCAAAGCTGTGGACAGGGACTTCCCTGGTGCTCCAGTGGTTAGGAATCCCCCTTACAACACAGGGGATGCAAGTTCGATCCCTGCTTGGGGAACTAAGATCTCATGTGCCACACTAAGATCTAAGGCCTCACGCTGCACCTAGAGAAGCCTGGGTGCACCATGAAGACCCTGAGCTGCCAGACAGCAACGACAAACCCAAACCAGCAGTGCGCCGGGTTAGAGTCAAAGGCATGAGCTGACACAGGCCCGCGGAACACTGACCCCGACTCAGAGAAAAGGAATGGATTTGCCCAGATGCTTCCATGTATGAGCCAGCTGCATAGCTCCTCCATTAAAACGCGCTCTGATCAAGCGATCTTGCAAAGGAAACTCGCCTCAGGCTTACAACATAAAAGCCAGGAGAAAATGACAGACTCTCCGTGGCTGTCACAATCAGGAACCTCACGGGCGGGGGCTGGCGGGGGAGCCGAGGCCCCAGGGCACCCGCTGTGCTGTCTGCACCACCACCCATGTGCGCCTGCGGGCCTTGGACTGGTCAGCTGGCGAGGTGTGCGTGGTTCGCACCGGTTCTCCCACAGATAGCCACGGGGCCTTTATGTATTCTCCTCTCCCAGGGTGGAGTGGAAAAATCCCTGCAGGAACAGCGACCACGTCTCTTTTTTCCAGGAAAATCCGTCTTCTCATCTCTCACATCTCGGTGTCCACCACTGTCCGGGATGCAGCAAACCTCATCATCCAGCGTCAATGCTCCACATAGTGCGGGAATTTATCTTTGCCTGTGATTGTTATGTCCACCGAAGAGTATTGTTTATCTTTCTGGATCTTTTCTAGTTCTGGAATCATTCTCACATCTGTCAACACACAGCTGTGGGGCTGTCGGGCTTCGTGCTGTGGGTTGTGTGGCTGCGACCAGTCCGTGAACCAGGCCTGCACCAGGGCCGAGCCAGGGACACTGTGATCACCCTGACCTATCACCCAGCCGTTTGTTTTTTGGCTGCACTGCGTGGTATGAGGGATCTTAGTTCCTCAACCAGGACTCAAACCTGCGCCCCCTGTAGTTATAGCACAGACTTAACCCACAGAGTCAGCTCACTAGGTCTTAACCACTGGACCACCAGGGAGGTCTCCCTGGCCTGCATTGGTGGCCTGACTCTTGGCCCCTGCCCTCTTCACTTTTGTTTTTTAAATTTACTGCTATTATTTTAATTTATTTTTTGGCTGCACCTCATGGCATGTGGGATCTTAGTTCCCCAATCAGGCTTGAATCCTGCAGTGGAATCATGGAGTCTTAACCACTGGACTGCCAGGGGAGTCCCTTCACTTCTTTTGTGAAGAACTTCATGCACATAAAATATTGACATCAAATAAAATTTGTATGTGTTTTCTCCTATAATCCATCTTTTCCTAGTTTGATTTGTAGATACCAGTGACTGAACTTAAGAAGAGAGAGGAAAAATTTTTCCTCCCCTACACCGTCACCTGTATCAGCAGATGCACGCCAGACAGCCCCGAGGCAGAAAATGATGCCAGAAACAGTCCTTGAGGTTTAAATCCTTTACGTTGAAGACCTCTCAGCAAGGCTATCCTTCCTCCTGTGGGAGAAGAGCTGCCCCAGAGGCTGTTAAACAGAAGCACAGCTTAGGTCCTTGTCTTCAAGGAGTTTATAACAAGACCTGCCCCGCGCAGGACTGAGGGAGCCAGCGGGAGTGGTCAGAGCTCCAGGACCAGGCCTCGCCCACTTGCGGCCCCTGCAGTGAGATGCTCTTGCGCGTGCTTTCTGACCGAATCTTCACAAGAGTCCTGTGATAGCAGCAGAGATGGGGTTAAGACTCGCATTTCCAGGTGAAGAACCCGGGACTTAGCTTCTGGGAGTCGACCATCGGTGGTGAAGATGAGAAAGTGTCCTTGGGGATCTGCATGGTGTTCCTTCCTAAACACTGGAGTGATCCGCCTCACGCAGGAGGTGGACGGTTTAGACACAGAGCAGAGAGTTCCCTGTCCTGACCTCAGAGCTGTCCCACCTGGCGCTGTCTGTCGAGCTCACGGCCCTTACCTCCCCCACCCATCTCAGCAGGGACCTTCCCCACTGCTCTTCCCTCCACCCTACTTAAAGCCATCGTGGGATACGTCTGTTCTGCACAGTGCACTCCCTTTAAGTGTGGCCCATGCCTGCAATGCCGTACCCACCCTCACTACCAGTTATAGCATCTCCATCAGCCTACCCCCCCCCCGCCCCGTTTCCCCAGCGACGTCAGCCAGGGTCACCGATCCCAGAAGCCCTGCCCAGGGTGTGACATCACAGGGCTGGACCCACTCTGCCCCAGGGTTGGGGGGCGGGGCGCGGTCCAGCCTTGTGCCCAAAGGCAGGCGCTTCTCTCCCTCCCCAAGCCTTTTTCCCTTCGGGCCTGAGGTCGAGGGCCCGCTGCCCCTGCTGCAGGTCTGGATGTGGGCACTTTCCGGCCTCCGATGGCCCCCCAGCTGCCCTGTCCCAGCCCCCGCCTTCTCAGTTCTGTCTCCTGGGGGCCTAGCCCAGTGCCCCCTGCCACCTCCACCCTGCGAGGCTGATGAGTCTCCTGGATACAGTAAGATCCTGGCTGGATCTGCCTAGAGGTCCAGGGGGTATGGCTGCCATGGTTACACATTGTCTGTCCCTGTCCCCTGCTTCCCCACCTTAAGGAACCCCCTGGGACAGAAAAGGCCCCCCTCAGCTGTGTGGGGGCTGGAGAACAACAGAGCGCCTCCCACCCTGTGCTAGAAGCCATGGGACACCCTGCGGGTCTGGGGGTTCAGGTCTGCTACTGTTTGGGAGGAGCAGCCTGTCAGCAGGTGCACTGGTCCCCAGATAACAGAAAGCTCCGCCCGCACCTCCCCCGGCCCCCCACCCCGCCGTCCTCCCCTGGAGGAGGGCAGAGGGTGCCCCGTTGTCAAAGCCGGTGGTAGGGTACACGGGATCAGGGACACTGCCCTGTCCTTCTGAACTCCGGCTTATTATTGCTAGAGTCCCCTTCTGGAACATTCGATCATCCGAAAACTGAGCCTCAGTTGCCACATGCCAGGCCCCGGGCCAGAGTCACACACATCATTCCACCGAGTCTGCTCAGCAGCCCTGTGGCATGGCGTGGTTACGTGGACTCCGGGAGCCACACACCCGCCCAGGGCTCGGCCGGGCTGACCGGCTCACAGGGCTCGATGAACCGAAACTCTGAATTCTCTGGATTCCACGCTCCTCACACAGCAGCGCCGCACGGAAGGCCCGACTACACGCTGCTCGTGACTCAGTCCGCGTGGGAGCGGCAGCGGCAGCCCCGGCTACTGGGAGCAGCGCGGCAAGTTTCGGGGGCGGAGCCAGGCCCCGCGCAGAGGCGGACCCAGACCAGGGCCTCCGCCCCGCCCTCCCGGGAGGAACTTCCTCCGCAGGCCTCGTCCAGCTCCGCCCCGAGGGCGCAGCGGCTGGCAGGGCTTCCGGGACGTCCGTGGGCGAGGGCATCGCGGGCTGGACCAGGCCTGCAGGTGTTTGCAGTCGCAGCCCCCTCCCCGTGGGCAGCGGGTCTGGGGGCGGGGCAGGCCTGCGGAGCGTGTCCCGGCTCTGGGGTCACGAGTGCGCTATGTGTCTGTAGACTAGTCGTTTGGCCGCTCTGGACCACCTCGGGGGCGCAGCCTCCTAACTCGATGGGATGAAGAGGTTGTAGCAGAGACTTCCGAGCCCCAGAGGAGAGGGTGCGGGCCTGTCCCCCCACGCCGGCGGCGTGGAGCGAGAGGGTGACTCAGACGCCTTGGGCACCCAGTTCAGGCTCGGCCGCCGCAGCCCCAGGCCTCCCTTTGCCGTTTGCTCGCAGGAGGCCGTGTACCTGGGTCACCTCACCGAGGGCGGGACGGAGGTCTGGCTCCCAGCCCGGGGACCCAGGTGCCCTCTGACCCACCTGACCTCGCCCTGAAGGTGGCCTAGGGCCGGGCCGGGGGTCTTGGGGTCCCCAGCAAGGCGGAAGATCAGAGGGGCAGCAGAGGAGGCCATTCCCCCGCCCCCGCGGAGGCCCTCCCCGCAGGTTAGCACCGGCGCCCACCCCCCCCACCGCGGAGTGCTGAGTTTCCGGGGAGGCTTCCGGCCTCCATGCTCACCCTGGTTTCAGTTGGGTTTCAGTCCTCGGCCGCAGCCTTGGCCCCACCCTTAGGCCTGGGCGGCCAAGGCCAGGGCCAGACGCGCGCGCACACACACACACACACACACCCCCAGAGCTGCTCCTCACATACACCAGGGCCAGGGACACACACGCGTGCACACAACCACACTCAGAGCTGCTCCTCACACACACACACCAGGGCCAGGGACACACACACGCGCTCACAGACACACACAGACACCCAGAGCTGCTCCTCACACACACACACCAGGGCCAGGGACACACGCGTGCGCGCGCACAGACACACACAGACACCCAGAGCTGCTCCTCACACAGGCACACCAGGGCCAGGGACACACGCGCGCGCGCGCACAGACACACACAGACACCCAGAGCTGCTCCTCACACAGGCACACCAGGGCCAGGGACACACGCGCGCGCGCACACACACCCCCACACCCAGAGCTCCTCCTCACACACACACACCAGGGCCAGGGCTGTGTGTGCAGATGTGCACACACACACACACATAACCCCCCCAGAGCTGCTACACACACACCCCGACACACACACCAGGGCCAGGGATACATGCACATATACACACACACCGACATACACACACCAGGGCCTTGGACACACACGTGTGTGCACACACACACACCAGGGCCAGGGACACATGGACATATACACACACACCGACACACACACACACACCAGGGCCAGGCATATGCACACACATGCATGCACACACACACACACACACACCCAGAGCTGTTTCTCACATCCATCTGGGGAAGGCAGACCCACTGAGCTGTGCCAAGAAGGGAGGACAGGGTGTGCGGGCAGGGTTGGGGGTGGGGGGCAGCCCAGTGATCCTGGGGTGGAGGGGAGTTGGGGAGAGGCCCGCGCCCCCCGTCGGCACTCTGCACTGAGTCTGTGGCCCGAGGCTGGGCTCAGGCCACCTCTCCCTGTCACCTTGGTGGTGCCATTGCTCTCTTGGGCCTCAGTCTGTTCAAGGTGGGGCTCACTCGGTGACCTGGGGACCTTCATGACCCAGAACCAACAGCTCCTCTGACACTGTCGGCTGTCATGGGATTCGGTGAGCATCGGCCCTTCGAGTGTGTACGCTGGAGACACGCTCGGCTCCAGACCACAGAGCAGACAGCAGGGCCAGGCAGGTGGAAAATTCCCCCTGGCGTGCAGCCCAGGCCCTCTGCCTGCTGGGTGGACCGCAGCCAGGTCCGGGGGACTGGCAGGCAGCCTGGCAGCCGCAGGGAGCTGGCTGGGGCCTCCCAGCTCAGCTGCCCCCACTCAGACTCCAGAATTCTGTCGGCTCAGGCCAGCAGACAGGACAAGGACCTGCGGGAAGCTTGTGGAGGTTTGTTGGGACCTTGGAGCTTCTCGGAAGTTGCAGCCCTGGGTGGAGGGCTCCTTCCTGTCCCCCAGCCAAGTGAGTGGTCCCGGGACCACTGTTTGCATGGCCAAGCGGGCAGAGCTCTGGCAGGTGTGGTGGGGCGGATGTCCCTGTGTCTGCTCCTGCTCGCTGCCAGCTTCCACCTGGTGACCTTGGGCGGGCACGCCCTGGCCCAGGCCTCGCTTTGTTCCTCTGGGACTGTTGGGCTCGCCTCCTGGAAGGGCACGAAGCTACGCCCACCAGACCTGGGAAGTACAAACTGCAGGCCTGCAGGACTTGGGGCTGGGGGGCAGGACACGTCCTGGGGTCCCTTGTGCTGGAAGCCAGGGTGGCGGCTTTTGTCCCTGCCTGCTCCTGGCTGCCGAGTCACCATGGCCATTCCCTGCCCATTTCCCTGGAGGCCCTTCCCAAAGCCTGGAGCTGCTTTCTGGAATGTTTACCCACAAACATTTTAATATTGCTGGTCGGTCCAGGTGGGGCTTTTGGAACTGAGGAAACCCTTTTGTGGCTCTGCCAGGTTTCATGTAGCCAGCCAGCCTGTCCCTCAAATCGTTCCCACTTGGGGCCGTCGGACCCGGGAGGGCTGCCGTGCCAGGCGCGGTGGACTCACGCCCCACCGGAAGGCTTCCCAGAGGGCATGACCCACTGACCGCGCGTCACCGCCGACATGGGCGGGAAGCATGGTCTGTCTGGGCAGAGGAGGTGGTGGAGATAAGACCGGGCATGACCCCGACTCCATGACAGCCAGCGAGCCCGCTCCAGGAACCCAACCGCCGTGACTCACGGCCCGCCAATCAGGATGCTGGGCCGCCTGCCTTTTCCAGCCAGACACACCTGTAACCTGCTAGCCATCTGTTGGGCCACACCCCTGCCCCAGCCGTTCGCGAGAGAAATACAAACCTCTTTATATGGGTGCATGTGGGGAGCGCTGTGGCTCTGCTGTGGGGGCAGTGCACACGGCCGTGTGCTGAGTACAGAGAGCAGACGCACATGAGTACACCCGCCCCGGGGGAGCCGTGCACCCCCTCCTGCCTCCGCCATGGTTGCCGCCATCTCCCGCCCCCCACCCCACCCCCAGTGGAAATGACAGAAGAGACCCAGCAGACGGCAGCGTCCAGGGAGCCAGGGAGCCCTCACCCTCAGAAGAGCAGACAGACACAGACGCTTGAGCCGGCCTCGTCCCCAAAGTCCCTCGGGGAGCACTGTAGTGGGAAGGGGCTGAGAGCTCCCTGGCAAAGCCACGGGTCGTAGCTGAGGGTCCTCCATCCAGGGCAGCCTGGCCAGACTCTGGCCTCGTGGGCCCACCCACCTTGGAGGGCAGCCTGGCAGTGGTGGGCAGGCAGCCCCAGAGGGAGGCCTGGAGAAGGGCAGTGTGCCCTGGGACCTGAGGGCTGGGAGGACTGTCAGAGGGGGGCCTGCGTGGGGAGAGGAGTCCAGGGGGATGTGGGCTCACCCTGGAGGGCGCGGAGGAGACCCACTGTCGCCCTTCCTTGCCCCCACACGGAGGGTGCCTTTGCTAGAGTCCTGACCTGGGGAATGGCCTGGACTGAACCCAGCACAACCCCGCGCTGCCAGGTGGGAGGAGACACTCCGCGTCAGGACGTCAGCGGCCGCGCTGGGGCTGGGGGCAGGGTCAGCTGGGCACCCACCTCCCTGAGTCTGTGTTCACGTCCGCGGCTTCAGCAAGGGATCTCCCCTCAGCTCCTAAGATCAAGGGCCTGTTCCAGGCTGGTCTGCAGACCTGCAGACTCAGACTGCTGGTTTGGACAGGAGAGAAAAACAGTGAGTCCCGTGGGGAATCAGACGGGGGCAGGACCCAGCCCTCACGACCAGGGACAGCTGGCCGGGGAGGGGGGGAGCCTGGCCGGGGCAGAAACTGCTGTCTCCATCCTTGGGTGACGCGCTCTGTCTGTCCTTAGTCTCCTTTGCACGAGACTGGGGCCTTAATCCCCTCCTTGGAAGTGCTCCCGCCTCTTCACCCCAGTCTGGGAGTGACAGGTGAGCACAGAGTCCCCCTGTCACCCTCAGAGGCCCCCCGGGTGCTGGGCTCCTGGGCGCAAGTCCCAAGGACCCCCACCTCTGGGTCACAGCCCATCGCCAGGCTGGCTGAATGGGAGGCCCAGGGTCCTTCCACCTGGGGGTCCCGGGGGCTGCCCTGCATGGACGTGAGTGTCTGGGAACACTTGAGGATGGCTCTTAGGGGGACAGGGGATGAGGCAAGTGTGAAGCAGGAGACACATAGGCATTTCTGAGGGAACGCTCTTTGTCTCAGAGATGCCGCTCAGCAATGTGGTTGGATGTCCAGGGCGAGCCTTCTAAGCAGGGCTTATGTCAGGAGAGCTGAGGGTCAGAAGGTAAAGTGACCTGGCCCTGGCCTACGCAGCCTGGACCACCCAGCGTCCGCAGTGAGGGTGGGACTCGGAGCAGCGGCTGGGTGCAGAAGGACCCCAGCAAGGAATCCAGTGCCAGCCTGTGCCTGCTGCCGCCCGGATAGGTGCCACCCTGCGCAGAGGAGGGGTCTCGCCTCCCCGTGGGTTCCCCTCCGCGTTCTTCTGGGCTGAGCCTGGCTGGCGGCCCTGCCAGGACACCAGGGTAGGAAAGGACGCGGCGAAAGGACGAAACGGGGTGCCTGGCAGCGAATGATCTGCTTGTCCCCGCCCCGCCGCCTGAGGCCGCGGAGGGAGGCGAGGCTGTGCCAGCGGCTGGGGGCGAGGGGCTGTGCCATCTGGAGCGGCCCTTGTCTCCCGCACTCGCCCCCTAAGCAGAGGGGCTTCCTGCCGGCCCCCAGGCTGCAGCCAGACCCTGCCACAGTCACAGCCCACAGCTGGGGGCTTGGCTCTCCCGAGACTTCACCCTGACCCTCCCCACTCACCCCAGAGCTCCAGAACCAGGTCCCAGGCCTTCAGGCGCTCCAGGGGGACAGCCTGACAGAGCTGTCTGCAGGGAGAGCTGCAGGGGTCACTGGGGGAGGGGGCAGGTGGGATGGAACAGGGGACTGCCCTCTATGGGCTTCCCGGGCGTCTCCAGCTTGCCCGCACCGCCTGGCCCCCCAGACCTGGTCCTGAGTTGCTGGCAGCAGCTCTCTCATCTTCTCTGCCCTGGCTGGGTGACCCTCTGCTCCTCCCAGCAGGCCAGCTCTTCCTGGAATCAGTCCGCCTCCCCACCAGCCGCTGGCCTGCTAGACTGTGGCCTGCCTCCCATCTGAGACCCAGCACCCTCTCTCGAACTCAGTCTCTGCTCCAGGAGAAACCCCTGTGAAGGCTCGCCTCTAGGAAACCTTCCTGACTCACCCAGGACCACCCAGTGGGCCTCTGCATCCCTCCCCAGCACCCCCCAGGGCCTGGCTGCTCCTGCGGAGGGGAGTTTGTCTTGCTGGAGCCTGGCTGTGTTCAGTGTCCCCCAGTGGATTTTCCTGAAGTCACATTTCTAATAAAGGAGCAACTTCCATGTCCAATGTGTCTGGGACTGGATCAGGTGGCCTGGGACGGGCCATCATCTCTGAGGATGGAGGCTTCAAACAACAGTTGTTCGTTAGTAACAGGTGCTTCTAGCATCACTTTTGTATCTGTCACAATAAACAGGCAAAATAAACATCTGTTCAATAAATTCTAACACAACTCACTCCCCTCCTACAGTGTGTACACATCTTGTAAAAATTGGGGGTTTACTCTGACGGGCCAGCCAATTGGGTTATCCTGCTGTTGGAGGGTTCTTACTGGGAGACCCTGGCACAGAGGGCCGTCTTTGGGCAAGAGGACCTGGCTTCTCCACGGGAAGAGGGCAGTGTCTGTGACGAGCTCGGGGTTCTGGGTGCCGGCCGGAGCTCCAGGGAGCACTCTGGGGTCAGGAGGGCGGGGTGACGTCTTGCAGGCCAGATCGGCTCCTGGTGCCCAGCTGTCGCCCTGGCACCTCGTCCCTGAGACTACCCTGGGCTGGACCATCCCAGCCCTGCCTTGGCCAGGCCGTAGAAGGGGTGGGGAGCTGGTGAGTCTGGGGGCCCAGCACCACACTGGGGAGTAACAGTGTGAGTCCTGGGGAAGGAGCAACTTTTGGGGGCAGGAATTCTTCCTCCAGCCATCTGATTCTTCTGTGTTGAGGAGGGGCTTCCTCTCCCCGCTCCTCCATCGGGGGCTTTGGGATCACCGAGCAGGGAGGCCTGGGTGGGTGGTTCTGTGCCTTTTCTGGCTGTGTGTTCCAGTATCTCCTGATGCCAGGCACTGAGGAAGGAGACAGGGAGACAGGCCCTGCTGGCCGAGCCTGGGCGGGCCCCAGGTCCAAGAGCCCCCCAGGGTCAGCATTCCCCGTGTCCACTCCATCCTTACCCCGTCCGTTTGATGCAGTGGGTGTGCCTGACACGGTGTACCAGAATCCTCTGGCGTGTTTGCTGGAGCGTGGGGTGTTGGACCTTCCCGAATGTCTGCTCAAGTCAGCATGTTGATCTGCTCCCCAGGCTGGCGGTCCAGGGACCACACCGACACACATCACCGTGGAGGCTGCACCTCGGCAATGCCCACATTCCACCGTGATAGCATCCTTGGAGACCGCAGTCCCCGGGGGTACCACTGACCTTTCACCCAGGAGAAAACCGAGGGGCAGAGATTCCTCGATGGCTTGGCACCTTCTCCTTTTCCCGTGTCCTTCCTCACGATTTATACTCATGCTCTCTGGGGTTCAGTTTTTTCAATGGCTGCCTCCTTCCTTGAATGTGGATCTCGGGGGGCGGAGGTCATACCTGTGAAGTTCACTGCTTCCGGAGCATCTGTGACAACCTCTGGTGCAGGGTAGATGCGCAGCCAGCCTTTGGACAGTGAAGGTGAGTGATGCGGGCTTGTCTCTGAGTTGGGAGCGGGTCCTGAGCCTCTGACCTTCGGGAGCACACCTACCCATGGCCCAGGGGCCCAGAGCCTGAAGGGTTGGCAGAGTGGGGTCCAGAAGGCTCTGCCACCTGGCTCTGGTGCCAGCTGGTGGGGCTGGTAGTGGGGAGGGCTTGTCTCGAATTTGCCCCCCGCCTGCCTCCCGCATCTCTGTCCTTCAGTTCCCAAACCTGTGAAGTGAAGACAATAACAGCACCTGCCTCAAGAGGCTGTGGTGAGTCATTGAGTGAGTCACCATGGCAACCGTGCATCTTCATCTAGCAATTGTCAGGTACCAGATGCTGTTCTAGCGATGAACATAGACAAGCCCATTTAGTCTGTTACTGATTCCTCATTATAGACGAGGCACAGAGAGGTTCAGTACTTGACTGGAGTCACACAGCTTGTAGGTGGCAGAGGAGTCAGATCTGGACGGTCTGGTTCCATTCATTGGACAGTGGCGGCCCACGGACTCGCTCCAGAAAAGGCCAGAATCCAGCCATCTTGAGTGGCACTCCAGAGCCGCCCCGAGGTCCCAGCCCCACTCCACCCTGACTCACCCCAGGATTGTTCCTGCGGCCAGCCCTGGGGAATTCCCCGGGACAAGGACGGGGAATTTCTGGGACGAAGGAGAGATATTCCTAGCGGATGGGAAATGGTCGCCTTCCACGTGGCCTGCCCTGGTGGGGGGCTGCTCCAGCAAGGTCCTGGAGAAGGGTCTTTGTTGGGGAGGCCGACCCACGAGGGGCCCAGGAGGGTGGGGTGCAACAGCAGGTGCATGGCCTCAGTGCTTCGGGGTCGGCCGGGAACACACACGGTCTCATAGGGAACACACACGGTCTCATAGGGAACACACACGGTCTCATAGGAACGCCTCCTGCAGGTCTGTGGGCTGGGCTCTGGCAGGTGGGCCGAGCTGGGGTCACGAGCCAGGCAGCCGTGAACTTCCGTCTCTGAGCATCTGGTTCCACCTAGTGGCCTCTGACATCCCCACGGCCCCAGAGAGCCTGGGGAAGCCCAGGGCCAGCAGGCCGCTGCCTTTCTTCAGCTTAGTCGCTCAAGTCGTGTCTGGTTCTTTGTGACCTCACGGACTGCAGCACGCCAGGCCTCCCTGCCCATCACCAACTCCTGGAGTTTACTCAGACTCACGTCCATTGAGTCGGTGATGCCATCCAACCATCTCATCTTCTGTCGTCCCCTTCTCCTCCTGCCTTCAATCTTCAGGCATCAGGGTCTTTTCCAATCAGTCAGTTCCTCGCATCAGGTGGCCAAAGTATTGGAGCTTCAGCTTCAGCATCAGTCCTTCCAGTGAATATTCAGGACTGATTTCCTTCAGGATGGACTGGTTGGATCTCCTTGCAGTCCCAGGGACCCTCAAGTCTTCTCCAACACCACAGTTGCCTTTCCTAGGCTGGGGTTTGTGAGCGCCCACTCCGAGGTGCAGTCGATGGGCACATTCAGAGCAGGGGCAGCAGGGGCTGCTCGGTCACCAACCCCCGTCCTGTGTGCCTGGCCCCGGTGCTCGACCTCTGTGGCGGCGGTTCCCATGGTTTCCACGTCTGAGAAAGAAGGCAGTGGGTGTAGACCCTCTTCAGGGTCCCTTTCCTGCTGAGCTCCTATATTCTGCCTGATTGAGGGGCTGAGTTTCAGCTCCGGAGTTGGACACACCTGCAGTTTGGATCCTGGCTGTGTGTGGTTGAGCGAGTTACTTTGCCTCTCTGAGCTGCGGTCGTGATGTAAACATGAAGTATGATGGTTCTCTCCGGCAGCCTGGCCCAGCGAGTGCTCACGGACCCCAAGGCTAACAACGGCCGCGATGACCCTGTCTCCTGAGGCGGGGCCGGAGCCCTGTCGCCCCCAGCCCCGTGTGGGCGGCCGGGACTGGGGGTGGGCAGCCTCCGAGGGCCCCGCAGGTCTGAGCGCTGCCGTCCTTGGGACCAGGGGAGGCGTGTCCTGCGGGCAGCACAGGGCGCCCTGTGCCCAGCAGAGGGCCCTGCGCTGTCCTGCCTGGCTGCCGCGGGCAGAGGGACGGGGGCGCGGCCACTGGAGCAGGCTGGCGACGCCAGACGCCTGGTGGGGGCGGGCCCGGCAGCCAGCTGCCCATCGAGTCGGGCCCACACTCGGCCCGGCCTTGCCTCTGCGTGCGGGCAGCCGCACTGCTCATCCGGCCATGCAGTGGCTGTGGCCGCTGGGCGTCTCCCTCGCCGTGGCGCTGGCAGCTGGGCCCGAAAGGGCCCCTGGGGGGGTCCGCCTGCACCAGGGTGGGCACCGGCCTGTGGCCCAGGAGCAGCCAGACCGGTCCAGGCGAGCAGCCGAGTGGGAAGATGCCAAGGGGCTGCAGCAGTACGTGCCCGAGGGGTGGGCTGGGCACCCCCGGCCCATCCGCCCCGCCACCCCGCAGCCCTCCCAGCCCCGGGTGGCCGCCAGCCCCTCCCCGGGCCAGGCCAGGGCCGCTGGGGGCAGTGGGCAGGAGCCCCGGGGCAACGTGACGGGGACGCCCGGCCAGCGCCGGCAGGTGCAGAACCCCCTCTACCCGGTGACCGAGCGCTCATACAGGGCCTACGCCGTCCTGCTGCTGGCCCTGGTGCTGTTCGCCGTGGGCATCGTGGGCAGCCTGGCTGTCATGTGCATCGTGTGGCACAGCTACTACCTGAAGAGCGCCTGGAACTCCATCCTGGCCAGCCTGGCGCTCTGGGACTTCCTCGTCTTGTTCTTCTGCCTCCCCGTCGTCACCTTCCACGAGATCACCAAGCAGAGGCTGCTTGGCGCGGTGTCCTGCAGAGCGGTGCCCTTCGTGGAGGTGAGCGTGTGGCCCTCCGTGGAGGTGGGCGTGTGGCCCTTTGTGGAGGTGGGCGTGTGGCCCTTTGTGGAGGTGAGCGTGTGGCCCTTTGTGGAGGTGAGCGTGTGGCCCTCCATGGAGGTGAGCGTGTGGCCCTCCGTGGAGGTGAGCGTGTGGCCCTCCGTGGAGGTGGGCGTGTGGCCCTTTGTGGAGGTGAGTGTGTGGCCGGGTAGAGCCCATGGGGCGGGGGCGGGGGCTGCCAGGGTGGGCGGAGAGGGTGTGGAGGCCCCCGAGCCTGTCTTGCTTCTCCCCCAGATTGGTCAGGGAGGCACACACAGTATGGCTCCAGTAGCTCTCAGGGCCCGCAGCCCCCCAGCCCCCCAGCCCGGCTCCTGCTCCCCCAGCCCGGCTCCTGCTCCCCCAGCCCGGCTCCTGCCCCCCCAGCCCGGCTCCCGCCCCCAGCAGTCTCCCAGCCCCCCTCCCGCCCCCCAGCCCCCCAGCCCGGCTCCTGACCCCCAGCCCGGCTCCTGCCCCCAGCCCGGCTCCTGCCCCCCCAGCCCGGCTCCTGCCCCCCAGCCCGGCTCCTGCCCCCAGCCTGGCTCCTGCCCCCAGCCCGGCTCCTGCCCCCCAGCCCAGTTCCTGCCCCCCATCCCGGCTCCCACCCCCAGCAGCCTCGCGGCAGCCCCTTCTCTCCCTGCTGAGAGCTCCCCTCCGCTGCCTTAACCCCTCCGTCTTTCCACCCAAGAAACTTCTCTGCTCTGTCTCTTTTTTCTCCCTCTGTGCCCCTTCTCTGCCACTCAATTTCCTGCCCCCTCAAGCAGAGCCTGAAGGGAGATTCCAATTCCCTGCAGACTCCCACCCCCCTAACCAGTCAGGTCTGTACCCTCACTGCCATCACCTTACTCCATCCTCTGAAAGTAGAGCCCAGGTTCTGGGGGCTGCAGCTGAGGCTGGGGCATATTGGGGTGTCCCTGGGTGGGTCAGACCTCCTTTCCCCTTTCCCTGTCTCCCAACCAGGGGGTAGACCAGATGGCCCTTTACCTCTGGGCCCTTCCCTGCTGGGATGAGTACATGGGTCTTGATGGATGTGTAGATCAGGAGAGAGTACAATCAAAACAATGCCAAAATATTCCAAAATAAGTGCATTTGTGTGGGACCCAGCGAGGCCACCGTGTCTGTACAGGAACATGAAATAAGCCAGCAGCCTTTTGAATGTTGTTTACGTGGGGCTTGGGGGGAATAATGAGGGCTAGAGTGACCGTGCCCCCCCCCAGAGCCACTCTCCTCCCAGGGGCTGAGTGAGTGGGTGGCTGGCCTGAGCGGGGAAGGAGTCAGGACAAGCGTCTGAACGCCGCCGTGATCCTGGTCCTCTCCGCGTCCCGTGAACTAGTGATGAGTTCTCATCCGGACAGACTTGCTGAGGTTTGGGAGGCAGCACAGACCCTTCCCTGCCCTCCCCAGCCCGGGGCGACCACCCAAAGGTGCTCAGACCTGAAGGAAGCCGCCCGGCTGGGCGCAGCTTTGCGTCTCAGTTACCTGGAGCTCGGAGCCCCACTGAGCCTCGGGGCTCAGACACGGGGCCTTGGAGGCGGGCAGACCGGCTGAGTGGCCGGGGTGGGCACTTCAGCTGCCCCGGCTCAGCCCCCTCGTGGGTGACGGGCGATCAGCGTCACGGTGGCTGAGCGAACGCTCGCAGGACGACAGGTGTGACAGCTAGTGTGCTTGGAATTAAAACGAGTCAAGAGGTGCTTTTTACTAGGAAGGCCTCAGGGAGGGGAGAGGGTGACGCCCTGTGAGGCCTGTCTGCAGAGTCGTGGCCAGGGGAGCCGGGCTCCCCGCGGCTGGGGTCCCAGGCGCCTGCCCCCTCCACAGCCTGGAGGACAGGTCACCGTGAGCCCTCCCTGCAGGCTGGCTGGCGGGTGAGGGGTGAGGGACAGATGCGCTGCTGGGCCCTTTCGTAGGGGCCCCATGAGGCCCTGGAGTGGCAGAGTGAGCTGCAGGGTTCCGGAGGGCCATCCTGAGAGGAAAGGAGGGGCCGTGTTGTTTTCCTCCAGAGGCCCGGGCCTGCCCACAGAGGGGGCGGGGCCCCCACAGCATGCCCCAGTGGGGAGGGGAGGTCCGAGCGGGGAGCGCCCCCCTCCCTGGCACTTGCCTCCTCTCTGCTCACAGGGCGGTCGTCCGTGCGCTGGGTGAGCAGCCTGAGGTCAGGTGGGCCGGTATGGAGGGGCTGCTTCGCCGGGTGGCCCGACCCTGGGCCTCTCTGGCAGGGCACGGCGGGACGGAGAGCCTGTGTCTGCACCCTGCAAGGCTACCTGCCCCCCCCCCAAGCCACGCACCCGGGGGACACGGGCATCTATAGCCCGGCAGGCCCAGGACCCCTGCCTCCCTGCGTTCATCCTCGGGGATGACTCCCGAAGTCCCGGGAGCATGGTAATGACCCCCTCTCCCCAACTCCGTGCCCCGCAGGTCTCCTCCCTGGGCGTCACCACCTTCAGCCTCTGTGCCTTGGGCATCGATCGCTTCCACGTGGCCACCAGCACCCTGCCCAAGGCCAGGCCCATCGAGCCGTGCCCGTCCATCCTGGCCAAGCTGGCGGTCATCTGGGTGGGCTCCATGACGCTGGCGGCGCCCGAGCTCCTGCTGTGGCAGCTGGTGCGGGAGCCCAGCACCGCTGCGGGCACCGTGGACGCGTGCGTCATGAAGCCCTCAGCCCACCTGCCCGAGTCGCTCTACTCACTGGTCCTGACCTACCAGAATGCCCGCATGTGGTGGTCCTTCGGCTGCTACTTCTGCCTGCCCGTGCTCTTCACCGTCACCTGCCAGCTGGTGACGTGGCGGGTGCGGGGCCCGCCAGGCAGGAAGCCCGAGAGCCGGCCGGGCCTGCAGGAGCCGCCGGGGGGCCGGCCCAGCAGCACCGTGGCGGGCCTGGCCGCTGTGCACGCCCTCTGCGCCCTCCCCGAGAGCGTGTGCAGCGTCGTGGCCGCCTACCTGTCGGCCGCGCTCCCGCGCCAGACCCTGGAGCTGCTGGGTCTGGTCACGCAGTTCTCCACCTTCTTCAAGGCGGCCGTCACGCCGCTGCTGCTCCTGTGCGTGAGCCGCCCGCTGGGCCGCGCCTTCCTGGACTGCTGCTGCTGCTGCTGCGGCGAGGGCTGCGGCCGGCCGGCGGCCCCCAGCGGCCCCCACGCCAAGCTGCACACAGAGCTCTCCGCCTGCGGCTACTTCCACAAGCCCCGCGAGGCGCCGCCGCTCCTGGCCCTGGGCACGCCCTGCTGAGGCTTGGCTGGCCCGTGGCGGGGAAGCTCTGCCCAGAGGTGGGCTCAGCTCCCCGGGCTGCGGTCCGGGCCTGCTGCGCCGGGGCCTGCCTACCCATGCTCCCGCCAGGGCAGTGGTCCTCCAGGTCCTTAGAGCTGCTCTGAAACTCTCCGGAACCTTGCCTGGCCCCCGCCCCCCTCCGCAATCTGGAGCCTGACCGCACCGCCCGTGTGCCCCTCTCTGCACCGTCCCCCCACCCAGGACCTGGCTCCTCCCTGGGCACGGCCAGCCCCGCGCTGCATGCTGCCTTCGGGTGCCGTCCCCCCCGGGAGGACTTGTCTCTCTGTCCTCCTCCTCCTCCGATGTACCCCGGTTGGCCTGTACCCCCCGCCCCCCCGCTCAGGTGCTCCCCGGTAGATGGCCCTTCTTGGAAAACAATAAACTAGGTAGAACCAGCCGTGTGCCACGGGCCTTTCTTATGCCACATCCTGGCAGTGCCCAGATGCACCTGGACTTTGCCCGCCTGGCCCATGGCCAGTGTCCTGCCCAGCCTGGGGCGCCATGGCTCTGAGGGCAGAGTGAATGAAAGGGCTTGGAGGCTGGGCCCCTGTGCCCTCAGTTGGGCCTGAACCCAGCCTTCCCCGGGAAGAAGGCTGGAAACTTATCTTCCACGGAGCGCCCCCTCACTGCTCCTCCCTCCGCACAAAGCCCCCATTCGAGGGTCTGCCTCTGAGAAAAGCTCTTGTCTGGCTTCTCAGAATGGACTGTTCAGCCCACAGACGACCCAGCCGCCTGCCCCCCGCCTGCCCCCACCCCACACCCTCGCCGCAGCCAGAGCTCTGACATACCCCACCCCCCGAGTCTTCTTTCCTCTCACTGGTTCCTCCTGCAATGGGGGGCCTTCCAGAGGCCCCGGAGCCTGGTCTGGCCCAAGGTCAGCCAGAGGGGCGCCTTGGCTGAGGCCCCAGGAGCCTGCCCTCCCATCTGAGGTGCAGTTCTGGGTCTCCTGGAGGGGAGCCCCCGCTGCCGGCTGTCCCCAGGCCGCCCGCGGGCCCAGGAGGGTCCCCGGGGGACAGGGTGGTGGCGTGCCGAGGCCCCCCTCTCGGCTGGCTACCCCCCCCACAGCCCTTGGCCTCAGCCTCCTTCCCCCGCACCCCGGGATCTTAGCGGCCTTGTTCTCTCTCCCTGGCACCCACCCCCAGGACGGGCGACGCCAAGGGAGAGCGAGGCCGTTGCTAGGTGATGGCGCTGCTGGGCGCACACTCTTTGTGCTGTGAGATGCAGGCGGCCTCCACGGTGACCGAAGCCCCCAACCTCGTCTGCAGCAGCTTAGGATGGAGGGGGAGCAGGCTGGGGGTGGGCCAAGGGCAGGCCGGGTGCTGGGTGCCCTCCCCCACTTCCTCTCCGCGCCCCCCCACCCCAGTCCCAGATGCACCAGCAGCTTCCTATGGGATGTGCAGGGGGGGGGTGGTGAAATGGGGATGAGCAGGGCGGGGGGGGGGGCTCCGCCACATCCTGTCTGGGGGCTCTGCCAAGGGGCACCCTTGCCTCTCCCAGCTCAGAGCCATGAGAGGAGATGGCGGCCCCGAGGCCCGGCTTGCCCCGCTGCCCCAGGCAGCCAACGTGAGTGGCCTGTAGGATTAGTCAGCCAGCGGGCCAGCGGGCCTTGGGAAGGAGCCACGGTCCCTCGGGCCTGGCCAGCTGAGGGAACAAAGCGGCATTTGTTGCTTAGGGGACCTGGGCCTGGGGTGGGGGGGCTGGTTGGCAGTGGTGAGCAGTGGACTTGAGCTGGGTCTTCAGGGGATACCAGCCAGCTGGGAAGGGCCAACGCACTGAGCCCCCTACTCTCCCCCATACTCGCAGTGAGAATTGCCTCCCTTGGGCAGGCTGGACCGCAGTGAAGCGGGATGGACTCCTCACTGAGGCCCAGAGTCACTGGAGGCCCGAGACGGGACTCCTAGAGCTCCAGGCAGGAGGCCCTGCGTCCAGCACCTCCCTTCCTGTCCTCCCCTGGGGGTGCAGCTCTGCAGAGGTGCAGAGGGCCCACTCCCACCACGGTGCGTGAGTCTGCAGTCTGGGCCACAGGCGCCTGCTGCGTGTGCTGGGCAGTCTGTGCCACAGGTGCCTGCTGCGTGTGTTGGGCAGTCTGTCCGATAGGCGTCTGCTGCGTGCCTTGTTTACAGGCGCTGGGCAGGAAGGTGCCTGCTGGCTGGTGAGCAGCTCATCCTGTCTCAGCTCAAGTCCTACCCTTCTCAGAGAACACGGGAGGCCAGAAAGGCAGGTCAACCGATCCCCGCATCCTGCTCTCCAGACCGTGGGTGCTGGTCCTGCCCCAGCGCCCCAGGCCACGGCATCACCAGCCACCGAGCAGCCAGGAGGACCAGCCTAGCCCTGGGCCACCTTGCCTCTCCTGAGGGGCTGGTCAGCACGTGTGCACGTTCAGTTGTGTCCAACTCTGCACCTGTTTGGACTGCAGCCGCCAGGCTCCTCTGTCTGTGGAATTTTCCAGGCAAGAATACTGGAGCGGGTGGCCATTTCCTCCTCCAGGGGATCTTCCCGACCCAAGGATCGCACCTAGTCTCCTGCATTGCAGGCGGATTCACCACTGAGCTCCCTGGGAAGGCACCCCAAAGTCATCTGGCTCCATTAGCCAAATTCTATCAAACCTCGCAACAGCGGGGAGCCCCTCTCCAGCCAGGCCACTCCTCCCTGTCGTCATGATGACCGGAAGGAGCCTCCAGGAGAAAGCCCTGAGACAAACGAGCTCGGAGCCACCAACGCAGGCCCGCTTCCCAGGACCCTGGAAGCTGCTTTCTCCCAGCAGAGGCTGGATGAAGCCTGCGTGTAGGGCCGTCCCATTTCTGGGAGGAGGGGAGCCCTGTGGGGCGGGGCTTACGGTAAAACTGGGTCAAGATGGCCCCGGATTTGGGAAGGATTTTCGAGAAGCGGGGTGCAAGGCTCTGAGCTGCTTTGGAGGCCGGGGGTGGGGGTGGGCGGGTCTTGGTGGAAGGAGGGAGGGCGCGGCCTCTCCTGGGAAACCAGCAGCCCCGATACCAGCGGCTGAGCGGGTCGGCTGCCGGCTCCGCACGCCGGGCGCTGCCCGCCCCAGGGCCGTCTCCTGGCTCCGCCCGCTCCAGGCGGAGCCCTGGACGCACTGCGCGCGACATCCCTCGCGGTGGCGCGGCCGGACAGGTGGTGACACCGGCGCCCTCGGGCCGCTGGCAGCTCAGAGCGGGGGACCAGAGGAGGCGGCGGCAGGCAGGAGCCAGGCCGCACGCGGGGGCCGCTCTGTAAAGAGCCATTGTGTGCCCGGGCCAGCGTGTGCCTCCCGCTGGCTGGGTGCGCCCGGGTGGAGGGCTGGAGTCCGGAGCCTACCGGGCCACCGAGGGCAAAGAACTCACACCATTCAACCCCCCAACACAAAATTGTCGTTTATTCTTGTTAGGAGGCAAAAAAATGTACAGTTACAAGAATCATCTTCCAAACAGAGGTTAAATGTGAGCAGAAAAGTGTAAAAAAGGAAGAGGGACATCACTTTACAAATCATTAAATTAAATAAACCAACAGAAAACAAAAATCCAAAGAACCAACCCCCCATGCTGAGTTCTCTCCTTGTGCAACTCTGCAAAACGAGAACAGAAAGTGAGGTGGCCCATGGAGGCGGCGGCCTGCGGAGGGGCAGCGGCTGGAAGCCGGCGGGCGGCGGGGCAGCGGCTGGAAGCCCGCCGGGCGGCGGGGCAGCGGCTGGAAGCCCGCGGGCGGCGGGGGCACCTCGGGGGCGGCCCCTGCCCTCCGCCCGGCTGGGGCCGAGAGGGGAGTCCCTGAAGGCTCGCTCCCATCTGCCTGACATCCAAACACTGCGGGGACAGACGAGGCTCGGGACGGCCGCTCCTGCCAGGCTGGTGCCTTTCCGGGCAGACCGGCCCCAGCCGACCCGCGCGGCTCCTTCCTGCTCTCCCCACCGCCCCCTCCCAGATCCTGGCTGGGCCCTGCAGCATCAAATGGTTGATTTTAGTCTTTGCTTAAATTAAAAAATTAAAATATATATACATATATATACTGTACACACAGGACAATAACAGAGTGGGAAAGGGGAGCGGGAGAGGGGCGGGGACGGGAAACGGAGCCGGGAGCGGGAGGTTAGGGGGCGGGCGGGAGCCATTTATTTTACAGTCAAATCAGGAGTTCAGCAGAACGGGACTCTGGGGCTCCCCGGAGGACCCTCCCCGCGCGGAGTACGGAGGGTGGGCTTGGGGGGCCGCAGGGGGAGGGGGAGCTCGGCCTCAGGTTGGGACGCGGTCCCTGGTCCGAGGGCACGGCCGCGGTCTCAGCTTCTCCGCGACTTTGAGTGCTGGATAAGCCACTGTAGGGTGATGTCTGGGGGACAAGGGAGCAGGTTACAGGGCTTCAGGGCTGCTTCTCCTGCGGAGAGCGCACACTGGGGGCGGGGGGGCTGCAGCTGGGGTCACCCCACGGGCGTCAAAGCCCAGTTCCAACGTCAGACCTGCTCCGACAGAGACGGAGCCCCAGGGGGTTCGCCCAAGACCGCACACCAGTGGACGCAGGGCGGGGACTTCCTGCCGCCCGTCCCGCCAGGGGAGCCCGAAGCCTCCCCTCCCGCCCCACACCCGCCCCACACCCACCGATGTTGTCCTTCTCTTTGCAGGAGATGGAGTAGCAGCAGATCTCTCGGTCCTGGATGGCAGACAGGTTCCTGCGGGGACCACCCAGTATCCTGAAGCTGCAGCCCAGGGGACTGGGGACTGGGGGCTTGGGGCGGGGGCCGAGGGTGTCGGGGAGGCCGGGAGGAGCGCGAAGGGCGGGCCCGCGGGCGCCACCGCGCGGCCGGCGCCGGGAGCGCGCGAGCCCGCCGCTCCGCGCCGGGGGTGAGCCCACTCACATTTTCTCGATCAGCTCCTTCTCATCCAGCGCTCCCGGAAGGTCTCGCTTGTTCCCCAGGACGAGAACCTGCCGCGAAGAGAGGACAGGGCTCGGACCAGGACTGCCGCGGCCCGGCCGCCCTGGAGGCGGTGGGCCCGGGCGCCCCCACACCGCCTCACCCGCGCAGAGCCGGGCCTGCCCGCCGTCCCCACGTCCCGGGCCTTGCCCTCCCACTCCACGCGGGGCTGACCGGGATGCCCTGCAGCTGGGGCTTGTCCAGTAGGTTGTGGAGCTCATTCTTGGAGGCCTCAATTTTCTCTTGGTCAGCGGCATCCACCATGTACCTGGGGGACGGCAGGTGGGGACACAGGTGACCCCGCAGGCTGGGGTGGGGGTGGGAGCCGCCGCCTGGGCGGGCTCGGCCGGGGGCTCCGGTGGGACAGCCTGCGGGGGCGGCGGGGGCCTGCCCGCGTCCTGCCTCCACAGACCCGGAGAGGCTGCTGCTCGCGGGGCGGCACGGGGTCCTGCGAGATCAGACCCCCGTCATTCCAGGAGGGACCCTCTTCTGTTCTCACGGGAGGACCAGACAAGGGGGTAGACAACTGCAAAGGAAGCCCCAACAGGCTTTATGCCCAAAATGCTTTTAAAGAAATTAGACTGGGGAGTTCCCTGGTGGTCCTGGCTGCAGGGGGTGCCAGTTCCATCCCTGGTCCAGGAACTTGAAGATCCCACATACCACGTGGCCAAAAAACTTAATAATAAATCAGGTTACAGGGTGTAAGATAAGCCACAACGATTTACTTTACAATATAGGGGATAGAGCCAATATTTTGACATAACTATAAAGAGTGTTACCTTTAAAAATTGTATAAAAAACAAATTTAAAAACAATGAAAGCTAAACGATCTTTTGTTCGGACACATATATATGTTGTTGTTGCTATTTTTTAAAAGCAAGGGAGGGAATTCCCTGGCAGTCTAGTGGTTAGAACTCCACGCTCACTGTGAAGGGCTGGGGTCAGGGAACGGAAATCCTGCAAGCTGTGTGGTGCATCAAAAATGAAAAAGAAAATAAAGTTAAAAAGGAAAAAAAAAATAGGGAGTGAACTGCTAAAACACATAAATTCAGAACATAAATTAGTCTGAGTCGGGAGGGTACACGCAGAGGCTTCCGCATGAGGCGATCGGTGCTGCGGATCTCAGACTGGACGGTGGGCGTCCAGAGGGTCCGTCCGAGCAAAGGCGAAGCCAAAGCAGCGACAGGGGCTCGCGCCGTCGGCCAGGGCCCATCCCGCGCACTCACACGATGGCGCTCACTCCGCGGCAGTAACGCTCCCACATGCTGCGGAAGCGGGGCTGTCCCCCGATGTCCCAGAGCTGCAGAGAGGGGGCGGCGTCAGCAGCGGGCTGACCCTGGCCCGGCCAGGCTTCCCCCCACCCGCCCCAACTCCTCTGCCCCGTCCCCCCCCGGCTGTCATGTGTTCACTATGAGGGCCCTCTAGCGTTCCCCGGCCGCGCACCTTGATGGTCACGTTCCCCTTGGTGATCTTGCGCATGTTGAAGCCCACAGTGGGGATCATGTCCTCGTTGAACTGTCCCGACTGGAAGGGAGAGTCAGAATTGGGAAGGGGGCAAAAATGGCAGGATCCAACGCCCGGTCCCATGTGGCCATGGACCAGGTCTTCCAGAGTCTCTCCTGCCTCCACTCCCACACCCTCACCCCCTCCAGGCCACCAGGGGGTCCCTGGCGGGTGCCACATGCCCCCCACTTTCAGGCAAGACGCGGCCCTGGCCAAGTACGGCGTCCACCTTGCAGTTGGGCTCTCCTGTGACAAAGAGGGCTCTGGAGAGGCTTGGCCTGCACAGAGAGAGTCCCTCCTGAGGGCCAGCCTCCACGCCCCCATTTATCCTCTGGTGGAACAGGTGGGGTAAACGGTCAAGGTTCACACTTGCACAAGGCAGTGAACATTCATGTCAAATCCGGATGGGTAAGTCAGCCACACCCCACATGCAATGCACAGCAAGCGTTTTCTGGGATTCTTTGTACTGTACCAATTTGTAGGATGGGTGGTCCTCCCCGGGACCTCACCAGACCGAGAGCTCCTTGGGGACTAACTCCATTTCCCAAACCCAGTTTCAGATTCTAACAATTCTCATCTCTCCCCTCTAAACTGTCTCCATGATCTCTAGATTGTTCTAAACTAGCCACAGGCCTCTAACAAGGCCAGATCGAACTCCGCCCAAGGCTGTCTCCTACATGTCTCTTCACATGTGGGCCTCCACTCCCCCTCGGACACAGGCTGAAGGCAATGTGGCTCCCTTAACCTTGAACCTGCGGGGATAGCCTTGATCCCCTGTGATGCCACCTTCTACTGCCAGCGGCAGGAGTCCTTTGCCTCCGTCCACACAGGGCAGCCAGGGGCTCTGATCACTGGCCAAAGTGTGGACATGGTGGTTTCTTGTTCAGAGCCTGTGAGTGTGAACCAAGTCCCCCAGGTCCCAGCTGAATGAGGTAGACGGATTCCCTTTTATCTTCAGGAGTCATCAAGGCCCTCGGATGGGAGCGGGGGCCACCCAAGAGGCGTGCTAGGGATAAGGCGGCTCGAGGGGCTTCAGAGACCCCTGAGAGTGCACACAGTGCGTCTGCACATATTTGGTGAAAGGGTCTCTGGTTTCCATCAGGTATCAAAAGGGTCCAAGAGCCTCTAAAAGTGAGGAAACTCAGGAAAAGGGAGCGCCCTGAGGAGGCGGCTTCGCTTTTGGCTAACTAGGGAGAAGCATGTGTGGTTTACCTCTGCAAACCCCGGCAGGGTGTGGGGGGCGCACCCCCACCCTGAGCATGTTAAGAACATGGAGACTGAGGAAGGGAAGCCCAGTTCTCCTTTACTCTTCACTCTTCATGGAGGAGCTTGGACAAGACACTTTGACCTCTCTGGGCCTTGAAGTTTCCTTCTGTTAAATGGGGGAGAGGGGTTTGGTTTCCTAGAAAGTGGCCAACAGGGCTCACAAAGAGCTTGGAAATGGTCTCCATATGCGAGGAACCATCATTGCCCCCTGGCGACCAGAACACCCACAGGCTCTCGTAGAAATAAAAAGCCCAGCCTGGCAGAGTGCCGGAGGACCCTCAGGGAGGCAGGCTCCCTGCCCCGGGATTTCCAGGTCAGCAGTCAATCAGAGCTAAGCTGGAACCAGTCACAGCTTCATTTCTCGGCTAAGGCCTCGGATCTTACAAGCTCCTCCTTCAAGTTCAGCAGGAACCCTAAAGTTGTCTAGTGGAGCACCCCCTCAGATTTGAATTCCCTCTAGCTCATCCCTCCTGGGTTAGCTATGGCACTCCGAAGTTCTTTATAATGAGTCAAAAATCCATCTTCCCAAGTTTACTCCTGGGTACCTCAAGATCAGTTCTTCCATTGGACAGTCATTCACACTTTAAAGTATTTGAAAATATTTGTCCTCTAGCTTCCCTTGGGCAAAACACCTCCTACTTGCAGGCAGCACAGCCTTTTCAGAGCTTGGGAAGCTGAGGTTTGGGTTCTCCGAAGCACGGAAGTCTCAATGACACTGCCCAGCTCACGTTAGCCGTTTGAGCAGCAGATACATAAACTCAATTTCTATTTACAGTCAGACTCATAGAGTGAGCAGAAAAAACAAACAGGGAAAAGCTGAGACAAAGAAAGGCCAAATGAAGAGGCCAACGGGATTCAGAAGATCAGTGGTGGGCACAAGGGCAGAGCCCAGGGTCCTGACTCTTTGTTTCTTTCTGAAAGACACTCCACTGGGATCACACCCGGGTATGGCCCTGGAGGAGCTGAGAACTCTGGACTCACTCAGACGTGGGCAATCCCACTGTGGCCCACAAGGATGGGTGTTTCTGGGAAGCCTCTTTCTAGGGAAATCGAGCTTCCACTTTTGGGATGTGTGAGCTGAGGTGGCACATTTCATGTCGTGAAGATGAAGGTGTGGCCGGGGGGGGCGGGCAGCCTCCTTGTGCACCTCAGAAACTCTTGACCCTGGTGATGGAATCTGTGACTCTGGGATTCCGTTCTGACCTGCCAGAGCCTCCTGCTCTCTGGACACGACCAGGACACAGAAGTGCCTGGGCGCCTGCGGATTCCTGCTGGGGACACGGCTTTGTAGCCGCTCCAGGAGGAGCACATCCCCAGGACCAGAGGTGACGCCCAGGATGAGCCACGAGAGCAGCAAGCGGCCCCCTCCTGGCCTCACCGCGGTCATCTCCCAGCCAGGCACCTGGCCCCTGCTCCTGGAGCCCGAGCCCAAGTCAACGCCATGTCTAACCAGGGGTCTGCGACTGAGGGCCAGAGCCCGGGCAGAGAGGAGCCCAGACACCATCCTGCCAACAAACCCAGACTGGGCCCCACAAGCTTGTCCTGCTGGGTGAGCGGCCAGGAGCCCCTGGGCAGAGGTCATCACAAACATGTTTAGGAAAGGGAGCCAGTGCCCAAACACGCCGTCGTGGGGAATCTAACCCCAGCCTCCCTCCACCCTTCTCTTCAAGGGTGCGCAGAACGGACAAGGGAGGTACCCAGTCCCGCGGTCACACTTCTCCGCTGACCCATCTCACGCACCGCCGGTCCACAGTTCTCAGAAAACCCAGGCAGGGCACAAGCTGAGCCCTGCCCAAGCCTCCCTCAGCCCCACGGGCCCAGCGCAGCCAGCTCACAAACGCACAAACGCCTGCCAGGCCGCGGCCTCCACTGCAGTTCAGCTGTCTTCCCCTTTTCTGAGACACATTTGAACTCCTTCCCCACCACCGCCCTGACTCTAAAAGGCTCACACTCGCCCACCCGGGTCCCGGAGCCACTCTCTCCTCTTTCCCCAGAGTGGACCTGCCCCCCACCTCCACCCCAGCCTCTGGGTCCCCACCTCCTCTGCAACTTCCGGGCCAGGCGGGGCCTCCGAGGAGTGCCGTCCATCCCCCCCGGACCCCCAGCTGGGCAGAGGTTCCCGTAGAGGAGGCGTCTGGGCTGGCGCCCTGGGCCCCGGGCGGATTCCACTCCCCGCAGAGCATCCCTCTCCCCACCACCGTCAACAGCGCCGGGGCTTCCCCTTCCGGCCAGGCGGGGTTGACCGCCCCCCCCGGGGTGGGGCTTGGGCCGCCGGGCCCCCTGCCCAAGCCGCAGGGCATCCCATCCCGCGACCCTCCGCGCGACAGGCCCTGCACTTTCGCCCCGTCATGCGCCGGACTGCGGTGCGGAAGGCGGGCCGTCTCCGCGGGCGGCGGTCCCTCGGGCCTCGTGACACCCTCGGAGCCGCCAGTCCCGGGCCTGGGCCGCGTCCCCTGTCCCCCGCCCCCCGCCCCCCGCGCCCTCGGTGCCATCCGGGCCCGGGCGTGCGTCGCCGGGCCCCCGGGGCCGTGGTAGGCCCCGAGCGGGCGGGGACCCGCTCAGCCCGGCGCGGCGGGGGCTCGGGGCCGGCGGCCGGCGCCCGTACCGCGATCACGTTGACGAAGGTGGTCTTGCCGGAGTACTGCAGCCCGACCAGCGTGAGCTCCATCTCCTCCTTCCAGAACAGGGCCTTGAACCAGTCCAGCAGCTTGTTGAACAAAGCGATCATGGTCGCTGCGCCGGCCGCGCCTGGTGCCGGCCCCCCGCCGCCCCTGTTGCCCTCGCGCTGCGGCCGGAGCGGCCCTCCCCGGTGCGGCCCGGCTCCGGGCTCGGTGCGGGCGGAGGCTCGGCAGGAGCGCGCGGCGGCCGACGACTCGCTGCCGGGATCGGCGCGCCGATGGGTGTGGCCTCGGCGCGTCCTCCCCCCGCCCGGCCGCCGTCCTCCTCGCCGCCGTCCTCCGGCTCCGCCCGCGCGGCCGGCGGCCCTGCTCGCCCCCGAGCGAGCGCGCTCCTCCGCGCCTGGCCGGCGGGCCGAGCCGCGGAGCGTTGGGCGGGGCGCGAGGGGCGCCTGGGGAAAGGAGCTCCGGTTACTTTTCCCCTTCGCGAGCTTCCGCGTCCTGACGGGCACCCGTCCGGTTTTCCAGGCAGTGGCTCGGAGGTGGGCGAGGGCGCTGTCCAGCGGGAACATTTCCAGGGTGGACGAGGGTGGTCCGCGGCCTCCCAGGAAGTGGGAGGAGGTCTCTGAGATCTTTTGTTCCCTGCGTCCTGGCCTCTGAGCATCTCTGGGTACCGAGCCCCATCTCTCAGAGGGTACCCCGCGGAGAGGAACAGCCGCCAGTGAGCGCTTTGTCAACCACGATGTACCAGAACTCCCTGCTTATAAGCCTCTGGCCCAGAGCAGCTTTTACTAGGACCTCCGTGATACCAGACAGAGAAGATCCTGCCAGGCGGTTTCCAGGGAGGCAGGTTTGTGGCAAAGGGGAAAGCTGGCCCGTGCCGGGTAAAGCCGTAGTTGCAGTCAGGAGAGCCACCGGTGGGGGCGGGGGCCTGCCAGGTGCTGCTGTCCCCGGGGCCCCCAGCCGCCACCCTGCCCTGGCCGCATCTTAGTGTTTGACCTCCACGTGTGTTCATGTGTGCCTGTGGCTTTCATCAAAGGTGCGTAAACTTTCAAATAGCAACCATACCTGCCAAACCCACCAAGATGACGCCATGATCAGTTGCCAGAATGGTGGGATCACAGGGTCTCGGCCTGCAGAACGTCCAAGCGATTACATGGCCTTTCTAGTCCCTGCTCTAGGTAAGTTCCTCTCTAGCACCCAAGGAACACCTCTGTCTCCTCTGCCCCCCGACAAGCCCACTCCAGGGTCACTGTTCCCCATGTCCCTGGAAGGGCTGTAAAAATGCACATTCGGGGTAAAGAGCGGCCGCCTGTCCTTGGTCTGTGGATTCTTACCCTAATTGCTGTGAAGGGGCCCTGGAGGCATGAGGAAAAGAAGAAGCCTTTATTTCCCCACCTGTTATTCTCCATGGCCTGTCCTCAGGTCTGGACAGGGTTGGGGCAGCAGCACCCAGGAAGGGGGACCCGCCCATGTGACAGCTTTCCTCCTAGGGGGTCTGAGCTCCACGGGCAGGAAGGCTTCAGGAGGAGTGAGTTCTCTCCCGGGTGGTGGTTGACCCTGAGATTAGATCTGGGGGGCCCTGGGCCTTGTGTTGACGAGAGACGCAGAGGGCAGTTAGCTCTCCAGGGTAAACTGTGGCGGACCCTGTTCAGCCTGAGCCCCTGGCCCACGTAGGTGCTTTAACCCAAGATGCTGGTGGAAACAGGCGTGTGGTCCAGGCGTGCTCTGCAGGGAGGGCGTGGCGGGACTCTTATCTGGAGTCAGGCAGTGCTCTTGGCTCCTTGCTCAGGCCTTGTGTTCTTCCTGGGCACGTGCGTCCCTTCTGAGGCTGGCAGGCAGGCTGAGGACGCAGGGTCTCCCAGGGGAGTGGCTGGGGCAGGTGGCTGGCAGGTACGGAGGCAGGGGCAGCAGTCTGGACTGCGGGGAGGTGTTCCCACGCTTTCCTTCTTCTAGAGACTTTGACTGTTTGGTCTGGTCACTTCTGTGGCCTGTTCCGCAGACCCCAAGGTGGGCATGGGGCTGTTCTGGCTCTTGCTCTGTTGGAGGTGTCCAGCCTCTGATGTGGGGTGAGGAGGCAGGGTCCCTGGCAGGATGCTGAGGACGCGGTCAAGGCAGCACCAGGCTTCTCCCACCTCCGGCCATCAGCCTGTTCTCGGGCTGGACCAGGGCAGGTATGATCTTGGGGTCATGCTCTTGCCAGCCCCAGGAAGGGGGTGCAGCTGGAGCAGCTTCTGGGCACCCTCAGGTTGCTCTGCCCTGGTGGCAGCAAAGCACCAGGTCCATATCCGAGGAAGAGACCGAGGCTCTCATATGGGGGTCACCCCTGTGTCCACTGGGGGCGTCTCCAGGGGGCAGGGGTGTGGGCAGTGCTCAAGAGCTGGTGTCTGGCCTTGTCCTCACTGGCCAGCTTCCTGGGACCCCAGACAGGCCCCCTGGGGACTCCCCAGGTCACAGAGACCCCTTTCCTGAGGCCCCCTTTCCCCAGGCCCGGGGAAGCGGCCCTGGGCAGGGAGGGCTCCGGGTCAGGGGCTGGGCTCCTCTGGCAGCTGGGCGGCAAACAAGGCCAGGGTGTGGTGCAGGAACTGGTACTGCTCAGCCGTCTGGATCATGCCGCCCCTGCGGGGAGAAGCACACAGGCCCTGAGCTGAGGCGGCGGGGATTGCTCGACCCTCCCGAAGGCCTGTGGGCACCCCCTCCCAGGGGCGTCCTCTCTGTGGCAGGCCGGGACTCCCCCCACTGACCCCACCTTCCCCCCCGGGGGGAGGGCCCCCCGTGGCAGGGCTGTCTGACCATCAGGGATGTTCCTGAGCCCCAAGGTTTCGTCTCCCCAATAATCTTAGAAGCAGTGATTCCCCAGATCTCGTGTTCCCAATGCTTTCCCACTGGTGAGCTCATTCCTTACAGCAGCTCTCTGGGGAGGGGGCCACTGTCTCTCTGGGTAAAGAAGTGGGGACCCAGGAGACACAGAGACAGCTCAGGGGGTGTACCCTGTTCTCTGTCTACACCAGTGAGCTTCTGCGGTTGCCTGTGGCTGTCTTGTTTCTAGAACCAACCATCCACTCTCTCCCCACCTTCCCCCCCCACCGAAGAAGGATATTTGGAAAAACGGAAACAAAAAACAAACAAGACTGAAAGCTCAGGTACGTCCTGTTTAACTCTAGCGCCCCCCCCCCCCCCCAGCTAAATTCTAGATGGAGATTCTGGCCTGGGTGTAAGGTGCTAAGCTCCTGAAGCCCAAGGGGCCCATTTCTCTCCCATAGGAAATGCCCGGAGCCTAAGTGCCCACCTGTCCAGTCGCAGCTGGCACACGATGCCCAGGACGTCCACCTCCCCTTGGGCCTTAAGCTGTTGGCAGCCGATGCGGGTGGCAATGAAGCAGCCGGTCCGGCCGATCCCTGCGCTGGGTCCAGGGGTCCAGGACAGGGCGGGGCGGTCACGGGGGCAGGCGGGCGGGGAGGGCAGCGGCCACGCCTCGGATGCGCCAGCGTCCTTCTCTGATGGCGCCGCTCGCCCATTGCCTGCCCGTCCTGCCCCCAGTCCTCTCCCCCAGCTCTGCCCTGCCTTCTTCCCTTCTTCAGGAAGTCTCCCCTCCCATGTGAACCCCTGACCCCCAGCATCACTGGCTGCACCTGTGGCGGGTCCACAGCCCCCTGCCTGTGCTTGCGGCCGCGTGAGCTGCTGAAGACGGGGCTCCCGAACGCTGTGCCTCTTTCGAGTCTCCCTCCTCACCCCTCTGTCCTCCCGCCTCTTAGCCCGAGGCCCCGGGCCTCTTCGGTGGCACACCTGGGTCTCTAGGCCTGTCCTGGGAGGCCCCTCATCCGCATGCCCGCTCTTACCCTGCAGACTCTCAGCCTGCCCCTGCGTCCCGGGCCCCGCGCCCCGGGACCCGTGCCCTGACTGCCCCCCCGCCTCCCGTCAGGCCTTGGGAGCTGCAGCTCCATCCACTGGGGTGCTCCCTGCTCCTCCTTTACTTGGCTCATTCACCTCCCAAGTCTTAGCTTGGCCTAGAGGTCCTTCCTCCCAGAAGACCTTTTCTGGCCAAAGTCTGGTGGGGGCGACTTGGTTCTGTGCCCCCCAACACCCCCTGTCACATTTCATCATGCTGCATCCCGTTTTATCTGTCTTTCCCACCAGACCATAAAAGTGGGCAGTAACCAAATGGTCTTGTTCACACTGTCTCCTTAGCATCGGACACTGTGCCTGGCAATGACAGGCTTTGAGTGAACATTTGTGGAATGAATAAACGTGCGCCCTGGCAGCAGGGAGCGGGTTTGTCTCTTCCTCCCGCGGAGCGGGAGCTGCCTCTCTGGACTGTGCCTGGGTGCCGGGCCCACACGTCTGTGTTCCGCACTTGCTGGATGAGCTGGAGATCCCTGTGTGAGTGCGGCCCGGGCCGGCCCGCCCTGCTCCACTTAGAGCCCCTCCGAGGGGCCCCGTGGGGAGAAAGGGTTTCCCCAGGGGTGCATACCTGCAGTGGACCACGATGGGCCCAGAGCTGGTTGCAGTCTCTGGGCTGTCCTCCACCTCAGCCACCAGACGCAGCAGGGGCCCCGCCGATTCTGGGGTCTGGTGGTCGGGCCAGGCCGAGAAGAGGATGTGCTTCAGGGCCCGGCACTGCTCCTGGTGCTGGGCGGGGGCGGGGCGTGAGAAGGGGGCACGGGACGGGGTGACCCCGAGCGGAAGACCGGCCTCCTCCTGCTCAGGCTCCCTCCTGAGACACCCGCGGGAGAGCGCAGAGACCCGCGCTCAGGCCTGGCTCTGCCTCCCACCAGCCCAGGCCTGGGGGGACGTGTGCCTTAGCCTCACGTTCTCTGCCTCGAACACGGGGCTGTGATGCTCGGAGGCCAGAGAGCTGCTTAGGAGAGCGAAGGCGCCTCCCGTGGCCGGGGCTGAGGCGCGTTCACGTGTCGTTAAGCCTCTCATCAAACTGCCGGACTCCCTCCAGCAGTGACTCCAGGACCCACCCCGCTCCCCATGGGGATGGTTGGCACCCCGCTGCTGGCCTGGAGGGGCCCCAGGATGGCACCCGTGTCCCTCTTCCGGGCCCAAGCAGCTCCGCGGACGTGGGTTCAGGCAGGTCTCCCTGAGCAAACCCGAGACTCCCAGGGAACCTCCAGAGAGGGGCGGCCCCAGGCACCTGGATGGTGAGTGTCCGCACGGTGTACTCTGGGCGTTCCCGCACGGCCTGGACGCGGATGCGGAAGGGCCCGTAGGTCTCCTCCTCTGTGGGCCAGTAGTGGACGCACTTCTGGGCGGGGGGAGCTGGGAGTCAGGGGCTGGGGTCTGTCGGCTGGAACAGGGCCCCCAGAGGCGTCTCCCTGCCCCCCTGGGGGGCTTGACACCTGCAGATGAAGTGCCCGCCTCCCCCCGCCCCCAGCTTCTGGCGGGGGTGGCCTCCGTGGCCTGTGACTCAGGGACTGACAGGTGTCTTCAGCCCCCGGGGCCCTGCCTGGAGCCGCCCCCACCTCCTTGCCCTCTCGGAGCTGCGTGAGCATGACGATGAGGGTTGCCTCCTCCTGCCACACCATCTCCCAGAAGTCCGACACCGTGTTGGGCATGGGGCCCTGGGTGGCAATGTAGGCCTTGTCCTGCCCGCCGTAGCCCTGCAGGCGGGGAGGCAGGCGGTGAGCATGGGGCCCGGGGCGGCCCGAGCTGCAGGTGCCGGCTCAGGCTGCGGCCCGACACGCGCGTCAGGGACGTGCACACTGGGAGCCCCGCGCTGGCCGGGATGGGCTCTGGGAGTGGAGCACAGCCGGGTCCCAGCTCTTGCTCTGCTGAGGCAGACCAGGCCTCGTGCCCGCCCAGCCAGTGTGGTACAGGTCAGACTGGACAGAGTGTGCTGCGTTTGGTCTTTCGGGGCCTCTGTGAATGGTCCCTTCTACTAGCACCAAAGGCGGGCAAAACCATGGCCCTTTGACACAATACTTTGTGGAGTTAGCAGCAAAGGGTAGCACACCCCTGCCAGCCCTCTTTCTCCCCTTCAGAATCCTCCTGCTCCTCAGGGAATGGGGGATCCAGACCGTTCACTGGCCCACGCCTCACCCCGGGGCCCTCAGTTCAGTTCACATCTGACTCTTTGCAACCCCATGGACTGCAGCACGCCAGGCCTCCCTGTCCGTCACCAACTCCCGGGGTTTACTCAAACCCATGTCCATCGAGTCGGTCATGCCACCCAACCACCTCACCCTCTGCCATCCCCTTCTCTTCCTGCCTTCAGTCTTTCCCGGCATCAGGGTCTTTTCCAAAGAGTCAAGTTTTCCCCGCCAGGTGGCTGATGCGGGCTGTTCACGTCCGCTCCTGCCGGTGTCCCACCCACTAGGAGCCGCTAGAGGGCACACATCTTCTCCTGCCGCCTCCCACCCTGCAGGCCGGAGGCTGGGCACTGGGGACAAGGCTAGGCGTGGAGTCCACCTGGCCTCCTGGCCTCCGGTTCCTTAATTCCTTAAGCCGTCTCCAAGAAGGAGGGGCTGCCTGGAGCAGCAAAGGCAGAGGGGAGGGAACGGGCCAGGTGCCTCAGTGGGCTGCAGACCTGGGAGTCTTGGGCTAGGGTGGCCAGGGCCGCTCTCTGCGGAGAGGCTGGCAGGTGTGGGGGGCCAGGGGCAAAGGAGGCCGGGTCTTCCTTCCAGCACCGGACGTCTGCTCTGTGCATCCTGGTGTCCTGTTCCGGCAGCTCATGGGGTTGGAGCCAGGACACCAGATGCCTGGCCCTGAAGGGAGGTGTCCTGGGGGGTCTCTGGACACAGCACCCACTTCCCCGCCAGCAGCTCACCCGGATGTAGTTGGCATTGATGTAATTCCCATCATCCTGGCTCTGTGCCCGGCCCAGGCAGACTCGGCTCTGGGGGTCTAGGAAGTGAAAACCAGCAGAGGTGAAAGGGCAAGCAGGAGAGCAGCAGCACGCAGGGACGGTGAGAGGGCAGCCCTGTGCCGGCCGAGGCGCCGAGATGAGCAGGCGGCCGCGGGCTCCTGAGCAGCAGAGGACCAGGCCAGGGTGGTGCTGGGGAGGCCCCGGGCGGCGCCCGGCAGGACAGACAGGCGGGGGTCAGAGAGGTGTGGAGAGGGGTCGTGGCAATAAAAATGGAACGAGAGAGACTGCTGAGGACGTTTCTCCTGAGGAACCCCACTGGAACTCAGGCTTCATCCCACGCCCGCCCGGCCCTGCGAGTCAGCCCCAAGTGGGCCTTTCCCAGCTCCAGTCCAGGCCTGATGAAGAAACTGGCTCCCAGGGGCCAGCTGGCCCGGGCGGAGGGCACCTCGGGGCCCAGAGCAGGCTGCCCCCGCCCCTTCCGTGGGCACTAGCAGGCTGGCAGAAGGCTGTAGCCTCCACACTGGGGGCTGCTGGGGGCGGCGGGTCAGATAAGGCTGCTCTGCGTGGAGCGGGGGCGGGGACAGCTTTCTGGGCCTCGTGGTCAGCGGGCCCCCGCGCGTGCCTCCGAACACAGGAGGTGCTGACCCGGGTCTGTCAGCCCTGTGAACCCTGCCTGCTGCCGCCTCACCCCTCCGTCTGAGATCCTCAGCGCCTCTTGGGAGCTGTCCATACAGGGCTTGTCCCCTGCAGACGGTGCTGGCCGTTTCCCAGGCAGGAGGAACAGGAGGAAGGGAGTTGGTGCCTGACACTGTGACCTCAGGCGCGCTACATGAGTTCTCTGTGACTCGGTTTCCTCATTTGTAAAGTGGGGGTTAGAACGCCACACACCGACTACCCAGGGCCACGCTGAGCAGTGCTGGCCCGCAGTGAGGGCCTCGTCTCAGGCTGGTGTGGTTCCTGACCCCTTCCCTGGCCAGGGCCAGGCGGGGGCATCCCTCTGTCAAAAGACGAGGCCCCATGCAGGGCAGCCCCCTCCTGGCTGAGGCTGTGTCTCGCCCCCTGAATGCCGCCACCCCAGCCCCACTGCAGTCCTTACTTGGCAAGATGGTCTTATATCGGTCCTTGGAGGCATGGCCAGGAATATCCAGGTCCTCAGGGCTGACAAAGTTTGAGGGGATTCTCTGGCGGGGGCGGGGGAGGATGTGTGTGAGCAGTGGCCCCCTTTGTAGCCTCCCTTCCCCCGCCTTCCTGGTGGAGGGGCCCTGTTCCCTCCCAGCATCAGGAGGTGGGTCTGGATGGGGTGCAGGGCAGAGGGTGGAGCCTTCTCCTTCCTGGAGCCCCTGGGGTTCTCTGTCTCAAGGGCCCACGGGGACAGGCCTGCCAGCTGCTCCCAATCCAGAAGGACAGTGACTCGGGGGGCCTTCGTTCTCACCAGGAATTCCTCTTCCAGCTGCGTGGGGCTGGGCGGGCGGTGCTGCAGGGCCTGCCGGCTGAGGGGGCGCCCGGCTGTGCGCAGGAAGTGCAGCGTGACCTCCTGGGGCGTGCGCACGGAGCAGATGGGCTCCACAGCCCCCAGGGACCGCACGTCCAGCATCAGGGCCACGTTGGAGCCGCGCCTGCAGCGGAGACAGCACGGCTGGCCTCAACGGTCCCGGCTGTCCCGGCACCGCTGACGGCGGGCTCCTTGTCTCCTCTCGACCCCGAGGCCCAGGCCCCCAGCACCCCTGCCCCTCGTCGGCCAGCGAGGAGGCTCTGAACCCAGCAGCTGCCTCCAGCTGCCCTCACTTCCCATTCCTGGCTGGGCCCCTAAAGCTCAGACCCACACCCAGGCCTGGAGGCTCTGGGCCCCTCGAGGGGTGCTCAACCCAGCCTGGGACTTGGGGCGCAGGCGCAAGGCTGACACAGATATGCAAATGAACAGTCTTGTTTCCTTTGCCTGGGGAGGCGTGGGGGTCCCACCGGAGGGGCGGCCGAGGGCAGGCCGGCTCAGCGGGACCCTCCCGGGAGGGTCTCACCTCTCCTGCAGCCGCACGTGCTTCCTGGCTGGGGCCTGGTCTGGCGGAGGCTGGGTCATGGCTGCCCCCGAAGGCGACTATGACGGTGAAGGGGAGGCCGGGGCGGTGCTCTGGAGCGGCCCCGGGCCTGGACCATGCTGGGGGCGGCGCCCCCGGAGCTCACACGGCCATGCGGCTTGGCCTCTGGGCCGTCGGGCGGCCTTCTGCCCTCGGGCACCTCGGGTCTCCTAGCTGTCTTCCGCTGTTCCCCAGGAAGTGGTGGTGTAGCTCTGTGGGAAGGCCAGGATCTCTGCAGGGGCGTGGGGTGGCAGCCGCCTGGGGTTAGCGGGAGGGTGAGATAAAGGGTCACTATGGGGGCCGAGATAGGATGGGATCTGGAGGAATCCGGAGGGGCAGGGTCCAGGGGGCATGCAGCCGTTCTGGGTGGAGGGTGGGCTCACGCCCCTGGGTCTGCAGGGGCCTCCTCTGGATGAGAACGTGGACCTGTGTTGTGCTTGGGGCAGCTGGCCCTTCCACCCAGGGTCCCCCCGGCCTCTGGGGTCTCCGGCCCGGGAGGGTGCTGCCTTCCTGCCGCCCATCCCCCGCCCGCCACAGTAACCGTCACAGGAAGTGGCCTCACCGAGCCCGCGAGCACAGGGCCTGGGGAGGCGACAGCTGGGGGCACAAGCCAGGCGCAGAGGTGGCGGGGCGCCTCGCCGAGGGCATGGCCCGCCTCCAGGCCAGGGCCTGGCTCGGAGCTGAGCTGGGGTGATGGGGTCGCCGCGCCCATGGGGTCCGGGTGGGCAGGGGCGGTCTCAACAGGACGCCTGTCCGCCCTCCCCGGCCCGCCGCGCCCTGCCTGCCCTCGGGGCCATCAGTGCCCCTGCCCAATCGGCGCATGACCCCCACGCCCTCCCGCTCGCCCTCCCGGGGATGCCCTCCCAGCCCTCCGTGTCTGCCGACCCTGGGCCTCGGGGCTCCTCCCCGCCCCTCAGGTACTTACAAGGCGGCCGTGTCCCCAGGCGCCTCTTGCCAGCTGTCTGTCTGTCTGTCGGTCTGTCTCTGAGGACTGGGGAGGCCTCAGGAAGCCCGCTTCCTCCCTCCGCCCCTCCTCACTGCCACCCACGCGCACCCAGCTGCCTGTTGCCACCAGCAGGGCCGGCGGCCTCCCGCCTCTGACCCCGGGGCCCGGCCTGTCCACACCTTGGCCACAGCCCGGCCCTGCGCGTGGGAAAGGCCGGCCCTGACCACCGCCTCTCCTGTAGGGCCCTGGCTGCCTCTCGTCTCTGCCTGCCTGCTGGGCATGGCGGAGCCGACCCCTACCCCAGGCTGCCCCCCAGAAGCCCTTGCCCCTTCCAGCTGCGGGAATCCCACCAGGAACAGGGAGAAGTAGGCGCACATGGGGGTGGGGGAAGGGGGGCGGGAGTCTCTCTCCACGAAGGGAAAGGCTCAGGCCAGGCCACAAGGGTCAACCCCAGGCCCCCAGCTCCGAGCTGCCTTGGGTCTGAGCCAGGTCAGCCACCCTGGGGGTGGGCAGTAGAGACACCCCGTAGCAGGGTCTGGGGGCTTCCCCCGCCCCCAGCCCCACAGGCCTCCTCCCAGAACCGTGACATCTGCTCAGGGACCCAGGAGGGTGGCCAGCCTCTGGCTCTCACGCAAGGCGACCCCCATGTCTGCTTTGCTGCTACGCCACCTGGAGCCTGGGCCCTGGGTAGGGGAGACCCCAAGTCCAAGACCCCACTGGCCTGCCCCTGGCTCACCCAGTGGGCCTCCTGTTGGCTCCCCGCTGGGCTCCTGTCACCTCAAAACATCCCCTCCGGGCACCCACAATCCCATCCTCACCCCGCCACCCACTTCCCTGATTCAGCCATCAGAAGGTGACAGCAAAAAGTGCTGTGTACGACAGGCCGGGGGTGGCATGCAGGAGGGGTGGAGGGCTGCCTGCAGGCAGGGCAGGGTGGCCCTCTGGCGCTTGGGAGGCCCAAGCGGGGGAGCCAGGTGGAGGGGACAGGGCAGGAGCCTGGGGACCCCTGGCAGACCAGGGGGCATGGCCTCCAGCTCAGCTGGCCCCAAACCCACGCGTATTTCCACGAGTGGGTACTGGGGGGCCTGGGAAAGGAAAGGGGGAGTTGGAAAGAAGGCCACCCTCTCAGGGCAAGCTGCTGATTCTTATCACGAACAGGAAGCTAGGATACCGCAGGAGTGGGGAGGAGGCGGGGATGGGTGCCCCGCACTGCACCGCCAGTGCCCCCAGGCCCCTAAGGTCTGAGCCTGCAGGCTGTGAGCACCCCTCCCCTCAGGGTTGGAGGAGCTGGAGGCTGTGCTCTTGGCTGGAGAGCTGGGGGCCCAGAGAGCAGAAAGTCGGTGGGGTGGGGTGGGTAATGGTTGGGCACCAGGTAAGACCCCAAGGACAGCTCAGTTCCCTTTGGCTATATTTGGGGGTGACACTCACCTTCCCTCCTACTCACCCTGTGCCCCTTTCTACTTAAGAGATGCCTGGACATCACTGGAGGTGTAGACACAGCTGGAGGTGCCGGGCGCCAGCAGAAGCCTCAGAGAAGATAGGGCCCTGCGACAGCCCCCAGCCTGGCCTGGGCCCCGTCCAGGGTAGATGCTGCCCCATCCGGGCTGTGGGGTGCAGATGAAGGCCTGGAGGCCGTGGGAGGGACACCCGTCCTGAGCCTCCCCCCGCCCCAGCGTGGACCCCCATGGCTCTCAGGCTGCTCACTCCACCTGCCAATATGTGTCAGAGCTGGGTGCGGGGCGCAGGAGACCAGGAGGACCCCGCTGAGCCCTGCTGAGACAGGGGTCCCTGCTCCTCCCTGCTTCTCAGGAGCCTTCTCCCTAGGGGCCGAGGAACGCCCCTCCTACATTGGTCAGAGGGCGGATCCTGCGGTGCTGGGAGCCGTCTGCCAGAGAAGTGGCTCCCGGAGGGCCAGGAGAGGCTGGCCCTTTCCTGTGGGGGCTGAGGTCTCCGAGCTGCATCTCAGCAGAGCCCCACCCCCTTCCTCCAGCCGCTCCCCAGGTCCAGGGCTGGGAGCCCCAGGGTCAGGAGCCCCTCAGAGGGGCAGGTGTATTGAGAATTCCCAATACAAGCCCTGTTCCTGCAGCACCTGCCTGCCCTGGGGTCAAAGGCCATGCCCTGATAGAGCCCCCGAGGCAGAGTCTCAGGACTGGCCTGCTGTGCGGCCCTGCTGCTCCAGCCCGCCCTGTCCTCTTTGCTCCTCTCGGAGGAGAAGCCCTGATCCCAGGTCCCCCACACACCCCCAGATCCCGGGCCAGCCCAGCGGGCTTCGTGTCCCTGGCCGTGTGGGGGAGACAGAGATACAGAGAGCTGGAGAGGTCCCGGGGTGTGGGAGGCTGGGCCATCTGGAGCCTCCGGCCCTTCTCCTCCTGGAGACTATCTTCCGGGGCGTGGGGGTGCTCAAGGCCAGGCTGCCGCGGTGGGCGTGGGGGGGAGGGCCCGGAAGACAGACGCTGGGCTGCAGCAGGGGAAACCACTGTTGGCACTGGCACTCGGGAGCCAGGGAGCCAGCACGCCCAGACTGCCCACCACCTGCCTCTGCGTCTGGCCCCCTCTCCCCAGAAGGAACAGTAAGTAAGGCTCCAGGAGGACCCCTGGGGCTCCAGGTGGAGGATGTGGGTTTGTCTGTGGGAGTGGCTGCCGGGAGAAGACAGAGCCCTTGGGGTACTTTCTGCTGAAGTGAGACGCTGGGCTGGGAGGCTGCTTCCTACGTCTGAGTCTTCCTTACCTTCTCGAGCGTTCCCACCCCCTCCACCCCCGTCCTGGCCAAGGCTGTCCCCGCCGGCTGGCTGGGGGCTGACAGGTGTGCCCCTACCTTCCCCAGGCCCCATCCATAGGACTCGACATGGGGTCTGTGCTGTCCCCAACAGTCCCCCTTTTGTGGGGACTATTAGGCGCAGTCTGAGACCCCACCCCTTACCTAAAACCCAATCCTGTGTACCTTTTCTAATTAGATTCTGAATTAGGCTGTTTCCATCCCACTGCTCCAGGCTATGCCGGTCCGGCTAAGTGCAGTGCCCCAGGTGAGGGGGGCAGGGAGGGTGGAGTGTTTCCCCCTCATGGCCAGACTAGGACCTCCCCCCTTTCACATCAGTTTCCCTAGTTGTTCCCCCACCTCCTCTTTTGAAAGAATGCATGTGCACACACATGCACACACACACACACACACACACACACATGTGTGAGCAGCCTGGAAAATCTGATGGGGCTGCAGTGCTGAGTTTCCAGAGGCTGGTGGGCGGCTCTGAGGTTTGGGGCTGGCCGAGTGGGGCGAGAGAAGGGTCCACAGAAGCCAGCTCCTTGCCCAGTGTCTCTGTACCTGCCTGTGTGCTACGCGTCCCCCTCCCGACTTCCAGCTTGGGGACCAGGGCCCTATCCTTTCCTCTGTCTCCCTCCCCACCTTTCCCCATGTCAGCTGCCTGGGCTGGGGGCTCCAGGGAGTGCTTCCAGGTGAGTCCTTGGCTCCAGGCTGCAGGAACCCCTAGGCCTCAGCAGCACCTGCGTCCACAAGGGGGTGGCGGGGGGGGGGTGTGTGTGTGGGGAGGGTCTAGATGGAGCAGGCAGGGGTTGGAAGCAAGCACACGTCCAGGGCGTCAGGGGTCAGGAGCCAAGGCTGGAGGCCCAGGTTCACCCTGGGGCAGGGGCTTGCTCTTCCCTCCGTGGACATCGCTTCCTTACGGGGGGTGCAAGGACGAGAAGCAGGAGGGCTGTCCTGGGTCCACCACCCTGCAACAAAGGCCTTTAGGACGTGCTCCTCCGTGTCCAGAAGGGGACACACTCACAGCTGTCTGTCCACCCAGCTCCCAGCACCACGATGTCACCAGGACCCTCCCGGTAGAAACACGGATGCCCTGTCCTCCTCTCCCCAGGGCAAGGCGTCGGGAGTCAGCTGTCTCTGCCCACACCGGGGCGTTGCTTCTCCAGGTCTGAGTCTCTTCCTGCCTGGAAAGCCAGCTGCTCAAGAGCGTGCAGGTAGGGCCAGAGCGGGAGGCAAGTGTGTCTGCAGCCAGGGGTCGCGACCCCTCCCTCCTCCTGGAGCCCTGCTGGGAACAGGGTCTGGGGTGGAAAGGCAGCCAAGCTCTCCAGGGAACCGGGAGCTGAGCGGGGGATGCAGAACAGCCCCTCCCGCTGCCTCCTAGCTCTCCCTGCAGACGCTGGGATGAGGCCCCCAGCCCTGTTCGTGGTGCTCCTCTGGCTCCCAGGCTTCTTGGCCAAGGTGAGGCGGGCCCCGGGGCCATGGCCAGCGGGGGGAGGGGGTCCTGCTCTCTGTGGTGTCCAGGCCTCCTGCTGCGCTGAGGGCCCCAGCTGATCTGCGCGAAGTTGGGCAGAAGCAGCTCCCCCCCAGTCCCACAGGACACAGAGCAGCTGCCCCGGTTGGGGCCTCCATGCCTCGGTGTCCTGCCTGCTGCCCCTAGGCCGTGCCTGGGGTGGGGGACGGACAAGCAGACAGCCTTTTCTCTGCTCTTGGCTGCAGCCAGAGCCTCTGCCCCTCTCTCCCACCCTCATGCCCGCTTCCTCAGGAAGATGAGTGCCAGCCCCCGGAAGAGGGTCCCGTAGGGGCCAGTGGAGGTAGGTGGTGGAGGAGGGGCGGACAGGGCCCTCTCTCCCCCGGTCCGCCTCTGTCCTGGCCCTTCCTACCCCCGCCTCCTTCAGGGCACAGGGCACTCGGCGCCCTGACGACCCCTGCTCCCCAGGACCGCCCCTGAGGGTGACGGTCAGCAGCCGGGGCAGGTCCGCCAGCCTCACGCTGAGCCGGGCCGCCCCTGGGCCGGGCGGACCCGGCCGCACCCTCCGCCTCAGCCGGCTGAACCCCCGCGGCTCCCCTGAACGGCAGCTGCTCCGGGCCCACACCAACACGTCCAGCTTCCAGTTCCGGGACTTGGTGCCAGGAAGTCGCTACCAGCTGGAGGCGACCGCCCCTGCGGGCAGAACGCCAGCCTCAGCCTCACCGCGCTCACAGGTGCGCGGCCTGCGGACGGGGGCGTGGTCTGTGGGCCGGGGCGTGGCCTGTGGGCAGAGGTGTGGTCTGCGGGCAGGGGCGGGGAGCCTGCGGGCGGGGTCTGTGGACGGGGCGGGGCCTGCGGGGCAGGGACTGGGAGCCTGCAGGCGGGGCCTGTTCGCGGGGGCGTGGCCAAGCAGGATGGTGGCCCTGGAGGATTGGTGAGGTCTCTGGGGACCACGCTGGTACAGTGACCTGTCGAGGAGTGCTAGAAGCAGAGATGCTGCCCGGCCCTGAACCTAGAGCCCCTCTCTGCCTCGCCACAGCCCCGTCCACTGTCCAGGACCTGCAGCTCCACGGCTCTGAGAGCCCGTCCAGCCTGGGGGCCTCTTGGGGCTCTGCTCCTGGGGGGCAGGATGGCTACCAGCTTGTCCTCTGCCACCTGGAGTCCCAGACAGTGGTTCACAACGTTTCCACGTCTGCCGGCACCCTGACCTACAATTTTAGCCACCTCCTACCCGGCAGTGAGTACGTCTTGGAGGTTACCACCTGGGCTGCCCACCTCCAAGCGAAGACCAGTGCCCGCCAGTGGACAGGTAGGCTCCGCGCCTGGCAAGGCCCCAGGTGACAGCCGGCTGGGGGTAGGGGTGGTCCAGAGCCACGAGCCAATGTGACGGGGCTCCTGGCTCCTGTGCGGGCTTGGTGCCGGGTCCCTGGCTGGGCCCCTTCTCCAGTCCGGCTCTGTCCCGCCTGCCCTCCTCTAGCTCCTGTACCTCCAGGGCAGCTAGAGCTGCGTGCCCTGGGCACCAGGGCCCTGCGGGCCTCCTGGGGCAGCTCTGGGGGGGCCGCCTGGCTGCACCTCCTGCTCACAGACCTGCTCGGTGGCTCCAACCTGACGGCGGGCGTCACAAGAAGTGTCTCCAGTCACACCTTCCCGTGCCTCTCTCCTGGAACCCCCTACACGCTGACACTCAGGGTTGTCGCCGGTTCCCATTGGGCAGCGGGGCCCAGTGCCACCGAGTGGACCCGTGAGTGCTGGGGGTTTGCTGGCCACTGCAGAGGTCCCTCAGCCAAGCAGGCTGATCCGGCCATGCGGGGAGCATCCAGAGTCCTGCAGGGAAGGGGTGAGGCCCAAGAGTGCCCGCCTGCTGGCTGGTGGTAAAAGCCCCCACCCCGAAGGTGACAGTGATGACAATTGCCGTGTGCCGGCCCCATGCCAGGCACTTCTGTGTGGCACATCATTTAACCCCCATAAGTTGTGCTGTCCCCCGTGACGGTGGGGAGACCAAGGTTCAGAGACAGGGACCAGTCCCGAGGCTCAGGAGTGTTCGGGCTGGGCTGAGCCCCGGGACCCAATGCCCCTCTGCTCAAGGACGTGCCTTCTCGCTCTGGGGAAGGTGGAGGAACCAGGCGGCCGGGTCTGAACCCGTTGCTGCCACTGCCTGGCTGTGGGTCTCCAGACAGAGTGCTTGCCATCTCTGTGCTTCGGCCTCTGCCCCTCGAAGGGGACCGCAGCGGCCGTGCTGCGAGGACATGCCAGGCCTGGCACCGGGAGTGCTCTCGTGTTTCCGCATTCTTGGCTGGGTCCCAGGACTCACCCAGCAGGTGGCCTGTCCAGGGTGCACAGCAAGGAGCTGGCCGGCTGCAAGGACTTTCTGCATGTGTCTCCCTCCCCCGCAGGTCCCTCCACGGCCCTGGACCTGCGGCTCGCTCCCCAGACCCCAGGGCTTGGGGCCAGCTGGAAGGCAGGCCCCGGGGCTTGGGAGGGCTACCTGCTCAGGCTGAGTGGGCCCGTGGAAAAGACCCTAAGTTTCGGCCCAGGGGCCCTCAACGTCACGTTCCCAGGGCCCCTGCCATCTGGACACTACGCTCTGGAGCTCAGAGTTCTGGCAGGGCCCTATAAGGCCCGGGCCCAGGCCGCTGCCTGGCTGGGTGGTGAGTCTGGGCCGGTGGTGAACGGGTTGGGGTCCTGCCCAGGGGCGCCTACCTTGAGAGGGGTGGACCCTCACCCTCCAGGGCCCACACCCCTCCAGATGCTGCAGCCCAGCACCCGCAGGGCAGCGGTACCGAGCTGCCCCTGGATGGGCCAGAGGCCAGCAAGGAGCCTGGGAGCCGGACACTGCCCTACTCCGAGGGGGCCCCCTGCCTCCTCAGAAACATCTCAGGGCCACCTGGTGCCACCCAGGTCACGCTCCACGGGCCTGGGGCCCACTCCCAGGTGGACGCTGTCTCTGCTCTGGGCACTGCCACCGCAAGCCCCACAGGCCACGCAGGTGAGTGCGGGCCACCGCATCCCCTGGCCTTGGGGCTGGGGCTTTGCCGTGAGTGGAGAGGGGCTGTCACAGGCCCACACACCACACATGCCCCCTTACCTCCATCTCCTCTGCCAGGGCCCCCCATGCCACAGTTGCTGGAGGTCACCAGCAGGGACAGCCCCTCCGCCTTGACCGTTGGCTGGGCCCTGGCACCAGGGCCGCGGGAAGGCTACAGGGTCAGCTGGCACCAGGAGGGTGGCCAGGGCTCGCTGGGCGGTCTTGTTGACTTGGGCCCGGACAACGCCAGCCTGACACTGCAGGGTCTTGCGCCCGGCTCCTGCTATGCTGTGTCGGTGTGGACTCGGGTCGGGAACCTTAGTGCCAGCATCCAAAGGGCTCGCGCCTGCACACGTGAGTTCCCGGCTGCAGCCTCTGGGAGGCCAGCCCTGGGTAGTGGGGTGGGTACCACCATCCTTCACACGCCTTCCTCTGTGTGCCTGACTCAGAGGCCATGTGTCTATTCAGAGTAGGGCATTTCATGAACCTGTTTGCAAGCACTCCCCACCTCATACCATTGGGTCAGTCGTCCACCCATCCAGTCATCCACCCATCCTTCCAACCATCCATCCATCCAACCATCCACCCTTCCTTCCAACCATCCATCCATCCTTCCAACCATCCATCCATCCTTCCAACCATCCATCCATCCATCCATCCTTCCAACCATCCATTCATCCCTCCAACAAATATTTAAAGAATGCCTTCCATGTTTAGGTATGGGGTTACATGCCAAAGCTAAAAATTATGAAGAAGATAGTGTAGAAAGGCAGACAGATAAGTAAACAGATGGTTGATGTGTCTGTTAAAGTGGTTTATGTTGGTGGTTATATCATAGGGTGAGTGTGGATGCACAGTGTGTTCAAACCGCGTGCGTCTCTGTCTTCACGGGTTAAGATCGAGGGCTATGAGGAATGTTCTGTGGTTCTGGCTAATCTTTCAGGGCTCATAGAAGGGCCACCTTAGGGGGTCAAGGAAGGTTTCCCCGAGGAAGGGAGTGGGCCAAGGAGCACGTGGGTCTGAGTAAGGTGGTCAGAGAGGGGCCTTAGTGAGGGGGAGTGTGTCCCCAGGCCCGGAGGTGGGGAAGAGAGAGAGGGAAGGAGCTCGCAGGGAGACCCGGTCCTGGTGTGAGCCCTGGGGGTGTGGGGGCTGGCGCTGGGGGCGGGGCAGGCAGAACAGAGTCACCCTCGGAGCTGAGGCCTGGGAAGCGGGGAGGGGAGCAGGCATGGGGCAGGGCCTAAGCTAGCCAAGACGTTTTCCTGGGAAGCAAGGGGGCGGTTGAGTCCAGGGCTGACTGTGTTGGAGACCAGCCTGAGGGTGTGGCAGGGGGCCGGGCGGGGGGGCCTCGAATCCGCCTCTTGCTCATTCTGCAGTCCCTGCACCGCCCGCCAACCTGAGCCTGGGCCTGGCTGCCCAGACCCCTGCCCTGAGGGCCGTCTGGAACCCCCCTGCGGGGGGCAGGGACAGCTTCCTCCTGCGGCTCTACTGCCTGCGGCCTCCGGCTCTGGAGAGCTGGGAGACCCTGGGCCCCGAGGCGCAGACCTTCTCCTGGGCCCGGCTGGCTCCGGGCACCAAGTTCCTGGTGTGGCTGGCCACCCTGCGGGGCCCCGACCAGAGCAGCAGCGCCAACGCCACGGGCTGGACGCGTGAGTGCCCCGCCCGCCCCGCTGACCACCCTTGCTGGGTGTCCCGGGGGCTGACCCCTGAGCCCCATGGTCAGTGAGCAGGCCGCTGTGTTGACGACAGCTGCTCCCCGGCCCTGGGGCACCAGGGAACCCCTTGCCGGCTGGGAGCCCCTGGGTGCCCTAATCCCCTCTGGGCCGGGACCCCCCCAGTGACTTGGCCTTAATCCCCTCTTTCGAGGCTGCATCTCCGAACACAGCCACGTTCTGAGGCCCTGAGGGTCAGGGGTGTACGTGAATGTGGGGGGACACAGTTCAGGTCCTATACCTCCTTTCTCCACCCCCCTACCCCACTCTCCCTGCAGGCTCCCTCGCCCCTGCCCTGGTGAACGTGACCAGTGAAGGCGCCACCCAGCTCCGGGCGTCCTGGGTCCATGCGCCGGGGGGCCGGGACGGCTACCGGGTGACCCTGTACCAGGCGGGCGTCCCGGTGTACTCCAGCCCCGTGGGGGCCCAGGTGGACGGTGCCAGCTTCTCGGCTCTGACTCCGGGCACTGAGTACGAGGTGGAGGTGGTCACGCAGGCTGGGCCCTTCCGTGCAGTGGCGGCCAGTGTTGCCCGCGGGACCCGTGAGTGGGCGTGGGGACGGGGAAGGGCGGGGCGATGGGCGGGGTCGCCCGGAGCCCCTCCCTCGGGGCGCCGCCGCCCCCAGCCCCTCGTCCCGCCTGCGGCCTCGGGCCCCGCGTGCGGTCAGACATTGCCTGCTCTCCTCCCACAGCCCCAGTGGTGCCTACGGAGCTGCTGGTGTCCATGCGGGCGGGCAGCGCCGTGGTCAGCCTGGCCTGGGCCAGCGGCCCCCGGGGCACGGAGCCTGCCCCACGCCGCTCGCGGGGGCCGGGCTCCTGTCCCGGGAGCAGCCCCTGGCCCTGGGCCAAGCCCGCCTCGTCCTGAGGGGCGTCACGCCTGGACGCAACCCCTCCTTGGCCGTGCGGTGCCGGGCGGGGCCCCTCCAGGCCTCCACGCACCCTGTGCGGCTGCCCGTGGGTGCGCTGGCGCCTGCTGCGGGCCGGGGCACCCTGAGCGCTAAGCCGCCCCGCCCCGCCGCTTCTCGTGCAGTGGGGGCCCTGCCCTCCCGCCCTGGGCCGCCCCCCGCTCTCCAGATGGGTGGGGGTGGGGGGCGTCTGGAGGAGCGCTCGTTTCTCCCTGCGGCCGCCGTTCCTTTCTGGGGTAAAAGTGCCCAGTGCCTCTGAGCCTCTGCGCTTGCGCACTGACCCCCACTCGATACGGAACTCCTGAACCCAGAGAGCCTGACCCGGTGGAGGACGTGCAGTGCCAGCCCGAGGCCACACGCCTGGCCCTGGTCTGGACGGTGCCCGTGGGGGACGAGGACACCTGTCTGGTGGTGGCGGAGCAGCTGGCGGCGGGAGGGGCCGTCCAGCTCGTCTTCCAGGCCAACACCTCCGGGGGCGCCCTCCTGGCGCGGCTGGCGCCCGCCACGTCCTACCGCCTCAGCCTCTCAGTGCCGGGCAGGAACGGCCTGTGGAGCCGGGCGGTCAGCCTGGTGTGCGCCACCACGCCGGAGGGTAGGCGCCTCCGGCCCCCTCCCCCCGGGCCCACCGCCCAGCCCCCGCCTCAGCCCTGCCCCCGACGCCACTACCCCACGGGGCTCATGCCCGTGCGCCTGGCCCAGCCCGGGAACTGCCCTGCCCTCAAGGGCGGCTCTGCTCTCAGCGCCTCACTCCCCCTCCGCTCCCAGCCTGGCACTCCCCGGAACTGGCCGCAGCCCCCCGGCTGGAGCCCGAGACGGGGATGGGTGTGCTGATTGCCCAGGGCATGTTTGGTGAGGAGGACAGGCAGATCCAGTGGTACGGGTCATTGCCACCACCAACATGTCGCGTGAGTCCCGGCCACACGGTGGGGGCCCCTGGCTACCACCTGGCAGGGGTGGTGAGGGGCCGGGCGCTGACACGGGCAGAATGGATGTCGGGGTCAGGGGGTATCCCAGCACAGGAAGGGGTTGGGGCATTCTGGAGCGTGGAACTGGCACATCCAGCAATGCGGGGCATCCTGGGTCCCACCACCGTCTGCTCCTCTCCCAGTGGCCCGGCCTCCCCGCGAAGCTGTCAGCTGCACGTGGTACGACCACTACTACGGCAGCTGCGACACCTACCTGGCGGTACTGCTCTCCAGCCCCTTCTACCCTGGGCCCTGGGCCGCGCCCACATCCTGGCCGGTGCCTGTGGGCACGGACGACTGCGGCCAGACCCGCGACATATGTAGCGGGCGGCTCAGACTGGGCTCCCGGCATCGGTGAGGGCCGCAGCTGAGGGAGGGGGAGACTCCGGGTTTCGCTGGGGCCGCTCACGCCTCATGCCAACCAGAGCCTGCGCTGATGCAGGGGAGGCGTGCGGGGCTTCCTGGTGGGCAGGGCACGCCCAGAGCGCCCCGGTCCCTGGCTCCTTCCAGGGTGGGCAGGGGTGGCTCCTTTTCACTTCGCTGCGGGAGGCAGTGGGCACTCTGCCGGTTCAGGTGACGGGATTGGAAGGCTCTACAGGTGAGGGGCTCCTGCTGCCTGGGACTCAGCCTCTTGGGAGGGGTGCGGCCCCTCTGACTGGCCCCCCACCACAGGAGGTCCTGCTCCTCTGCCCCAGGTTCAGTGTCGTGGCCTTTTCCAGGCACAGCCCTGACACCCTCATCGCCGACTCAGCCTTTTCAGGTAGGCAGGCGCCCGGCGGGGCTCCCAGTGGGTCCTGGGTGGGGGGCTGCTGCTGAGCCTTGCCCCAGCCACTGGCGGGGACCTGTCCCGCGTGGCAGTGCTGGGAGCCGCCGGGCCAGGAGGAAGGTGGTCTGGGCGGGCTGGGCAGGCTGCGGGGTGGTGGGCGGACAGACGTGGAGGAACCGGTCTCCCCTCCTGCCTCCGCCTGCGAGATCGTGGGGCAGCGCTGAAGCAGTAGAGACGTGAGGAAGCTGTGAGCGAGAGACACTGGGGACTCAGCCTGCCTAGCAGCTGTGTGAAAAAGAGGAAAACAAGCAAATTAATCTCGGCAACATTTTCTTTAAACTGAGACACTGAAAATCTATCAACGTGATTAATTTTTGAAATAATGAGATAGTTTGCATTAATTTTTTTTTTATCAGTAAAGCTCTGCAATCCTGTCTGCATTTCCCACTTGTAGCAAATCTGAACTCAGCCACTCTGTTTCAAATGCTCTGCAGCCCAGGGCTGTGAGGCGACCTCCCCCCGCCCTCCTCTCCGGAGGGGGTTCAGGGTGGGCGGGGCCACCCAGGCGTCAGGGACTGGGGGGAGGGGGCCCCCTCACTCGGAGCTGGAGGGACTGTGCTCGGTTCCCATTTGGGGCCCCCCGACCCCCCAGCCTCCACAGCGTCCATCCGGGGTTTGGGGCTCCCTTCCAAGGGGGTCTGTCTCTGTGCCCTCCCCCAAGGGCCGCAGGTCAGCTCCAGGCCCCCAGCTCACGCCCACCCGCCATCCGCAGAGCCCCGGACCAGCCCCTCCCGGTGGCAGCGGGCATCGTGGCCGGCGTGCTCGCCCTGGGTGTCTTGCTGGGCCTGCTGTGCTGGAGGCGAGTGAACGGGCAGAGGTGAGTGAGGGGAGGGCCACCCGCCGCTGGGGGGGCCCCGGACGGCCTCCCACCACCCCATCACCCCTGCCGGGCAGAGAAGAGCCTGCGCTCCCAGGAGCTGACGGCTTACAACCTGCGGTGAGCACCCGCCCGTGCAGGACTGGGCAGGCGGCCTCAGCCTCGACTCCTCCCTGCCCCAGCCAACCCCGTCGTCACCTGGGCCCTGACCAACTGCCTGACGGCTTCAGGCTGGGTCGCCTTCTTCTCCTTCCTCTGGGGCTTGGGCCATAATCTACCCTCGGGTCCCTCCTCTGCCTCGACATTGGCCTCACGCTGAGCAGACACCCAGAGCGTCCTCAGGGCCCAGGGCCTGGCCCTCCAAGACTCCTGCCCACCTCCACGTGTCGTCCTGTCTGCCCCCCCGCACCCCCCCCCAGCCCCGCGTCCCTGGCTGGAGCCCAGGGCTGTGCGCCCACGCCCACTGGCACCAGGGCAGGACTCTGCACACCAGGCCCTTCGCCTGCCCCCACCCAGGCGGACCCACCGGCCCATCCCCGTGCACAGCTTCCAGCAGAGCTTTGAGGCCAAGAGTGCCCACGCCTACCAGGCCTTTTTTCAGGAGTTTGAGGTGAGGCCTCTGCCCGGCCCAGGCTCTGGGGGACCCCCGTCTGGTGTGGGGGGCGACGTGGGTCTGTCCCGGCCCCAATCTCTGCAGGAGCTGAAGGAGGTGGGCAAGGAGCAGCTGAGGCTGGAGGCTGCCAACAGCGCGAAGAACCGCTACCCTCACGTGTTGCCCTGTGAGCGCGGCAGCGGGCGGGCGGGGCTGCGGCTGGCCCGGAGTGGCCTGCTGTGCCCACTCCCAACACACACCTTACCCTCTGCAGACGACCACTCCCGGGTCAGGCTGGCCCTGCTGGACGGGAAGCCCCACTCTGACTACATCAATGCCAGCTTCATCCCAGTAGGGCTGCCCGCAGGCTGGCTGTGGCGTCCCCTGCGTTTGCAGGGCTATCCTGCCCTGGCCGTCGATGAGGACTGCCAGCTCGTGTGTCTGTGTGTTCCACGTTGGGCCTGCAGGGGGCGGGGCGGGGCTGCTTGGACTCCGCCCTTCAAAGGAGCAGGTGTGAGTGTGTGTGTGTGTGTGTGAGAAATGGTGCTCAGAAGAAACGTTTGGACTAGACGTCCAGAAAGGTTTCCTAGAGGAGAGATATCTGGGCTCTTATCACAGAATCCTGACAAGTAGCAAGAGGGGTGGATGTCATTGGAAAGACCCGGAGAAGAGCCAGGGTGGGGGGGCCTGCAGACAGATCTGGGTGGGGTGTCGGGTGGGGGCAGGAGAGGCAGTGGGGGCTGCTGGAGTGGAGCGACCGCCGGGTGGGGCAGGGGCGCTGGGCGGGCAGTGGGCCCCGGGGGACACAGGTGGTGTGGGCAGGTGGCCTGGGGAGGCTACTTGGGGCCCTTCTGCTCTCGTCATCATCCCTTCCAGGTAGGGCTGTCTCCGAGCCAGCCTCCTGTTTGGGTTTCTGGTGTGCATGTGTTCACGTGTGTGCACACGTGCCGGCATGCACACACAGTCCTCACGGAGATCCCGCATGGATGCTCAGCTGCGTGCCGGGGGCCCCGTTCACATCTTCCTGTCCCCCGCCCCAGGGCTACACCCACCCGCAGGAGTTCATCGCCACCCAGGGGCCTCTCAAGAAGACATTGGTGGACTTCTGGCGGCTGGTGTGGGAGCAGCAGGTCCGCGTCATCGTCATGCTGACCGTGGGCATGGAGAACGGGCGGGTGAGCACGCTGCAGCCCCGGGCGGCCACCAGGTGGCAGGCTCTGCCCGCAGGCCTGGCTGCGGGTCTGGGAGGTGGGCAGGGACGGGGACCAGGCACCCAGGCTCCCAGCTGGACTGGCCTGTGCTGCCCCTGATGTTACAGTGGCCCCCTGCTGCTCCGGGCCCAGGGCCGGGGGTGGCGGAGACAGGGCAGTCTGTGTTTTTGCTTTGGACACACCTGTGTCCTGCTCCACATGGGGCCCTGGGACAGCACCTCTGAGCCTTTCCGTGGAGCCGCGCGGCATGGCCAGGTGACCTTGAGTAAGGCCGTGCAGTTGGCCTAGAAGCCCGGCCGCTGCCTGGAAGCCCTGGGGCCACCTGAGTTCTGGGGTGGGGGTGCTGGGGCCCGTCCGGGACAGAGTGGCTTCTGGACGAGGAGGGCGGCCGACATGGAGGGCGGGAGGGATGCCAATCGAGTTGGGGTGGCTGGGCCCGCCCCGCCCTGACCCGCGTCCCCCCGCTGCCCTCCCGCCCTAGGTGCTGTGCGAGCACTACTGGCCAGCCGACTCCCGCCCCATCACCCACGGGCCCGTCACCATCCGCCTGCTGGCCGAGCAGCCCCAGGACGAGTGGACCACACGGGAATTCCAGCTGCACCACGTGCGTGCCCGCGAGGGGAGCGGGGGGCACTCCTGTGGGAGGGTCAACTCACCCCTGGGTCTCTGGCCTCCTGCCTGCCTGGGAGGCTTTTGGTTACGGAAGGGCCGGGCGGCAGAGCGGAGACTCAGGGTCATCCGAGGCTGGGAGAGAAAGGACGTCTCCGCCTGTGCTTGGCTCAGGCCCCCGAGCCCCATTTGCCTCCTGGGCCGTGACCTCCTGGGGCAGCGGTGCCCCCCTACCTGGGCAACCCCGGCAGGCAGACTCGCTGGAGGCTGGAGGAGCCAAGGCAGCACCCTGGGGGGTGGGGGTCCAGCCTGCCCGCGGGGTCTGGTGGCAGGACAAGGACTGAGTGAGGACCCCTGCCCCGCCCCCAGGCTGCCCAGCAGTGGCCGCAGAGGGTGAAGCAGCTGTAGTTCACCACCTGGCCGGACCACAGCGTCCCCGAGGCCCCCAGCTCCCTGCTGGCCTTCGTGGAGCTGGTCCAGGAGCAGGCAAGGGCCACCGTGGGCGCAGGGCCCCTCCTGGTGCACTGCAGGTGAGGCAGACGGCGGGCGGGGGGCACGGGAGCCCCCTCACCCGGACCCTCTGCCCCTGCCCTGGGCCCTCCGTCCTCCAGGGCCCGCCCTGCGGGTGAGGCAGGCTGTGAGCTGGGTGCACAGAGAGGCCCCTCACAGCCAGCCCTCTGTCCCCACAGTGCGGGCGTGGGCCGCTCAGGCACCTTTGTGGTTTTGTGGCGGCTGCTGCGGCAGCTGGAGGAGGAGCAGGTGGTGGACGTGTTCCACGCGGTGCACGTGCTGCGCCTACACCGGCCGCTCATGATTCAGACCCCGGTGGGCGCGCGTGCGGGGGCGGGGGCTCCTGTGGGCAGGGGCGTGGGGCGGAGGGACGGGCAGAGGGCACAGATGGGGGCGCGCGGGCAGGGATGCGCAGACGGGGACAGGTGGGGCGCTCAGGCGGGCAGGGGCGCAGGCGGGTGGAGGGCACGGGCGCGGGCGCGAGCACGGGCGGGGACCCTTCGAGGAGGTGGGTCCTGAGGCCTGGCCACAGGATTCCAGGGGGCAGGGAAGGGCCCCGGGGCTTGTTTCCCTTTGGGCAGGGGTCCACAGGGGTGGGTGGCCCCCACCAGCTCTCACACTTGGCCCCACGGAGGACTCCCAGAGATCCTCCCCTGCCGCGGCCCGGCCGCAGGGCTGGTCGGGCCTGGAAGTCTGGAAGCCCTCTGCTGGGCCACAGTCCCTCAGCCAGCGCCCCCACCCCCCTTTCCCCCACCAGAGCCAGTACATCTTCCTGCACAGCTGCCTCCTGAGCAGGGTCCTGGAAGGGCCCCACAGCACCCGTGCTGCCGAGCACGTGGGCCCTGGGGGCCTGGGGGGGGGATGCAGGGGGGAGGGGGGAGAAGGAGGGGGGATGGGGTGAAGGGGGGATGGGGGTGGAGGGGGAAGATGGAGGTGGGGAATGAGGGGATGGAGAGGGGATGGGGGTGGAGGGGGGATGGGGTGGACGGGGGATGGAGGAGGGATGGGGTGGAGGGGGGATGGGTGGAGGGGGGTGGAGGGGAGGCAGGGTTCCCCTCCCTCCCACCGCCAGGCTGCTGACTCCGTCCACACAGGGCTGCAGAGACCCACAGCGGGCACCGGGCAGCCCCAGGCACCCCCCACGCGGCCAGTGCCCCCCGCAGGCCGCAGCCCATCCCCGTGAGGAACTTTGCCCGGGTGTGCACAGAACGGGCCGACAATGGCAATGCAGGCTTCCTGGGGGAGCACCAGGTGGCTGGGGGCTGGGCAGGGCGGCGTGGGGTCCCCTCGAGCCAGGGCTTCTGCACCCTGCCTTCCTCACGGTGCCCCCTGCCCCCCAGCTCCTGCTCCAGGCCCTGAAGGATGAGCCCGGCTCTGGGACACCCCCTCCCCACGGTGAGCAGAATGGTACGGACTCCAGTGTGTGCCGGCGGGTGCTTGGGCTCGGGTGGACCAGGCACGGGGCATGGGCCTCTGGCGGTCTCACCCCTGCCCCCACTCCACAGATGGCCGTTGTCATGAGTGGTCCCCTTCGGTGGAGAGTGGCCCGGCTGGGGAGATGCTTGAAGCCTGGCTCTTCCCTGTAAGCGCATGCCCTCTGACCGTGTGGGCAGGGCCTGGGGGGTTGGGGGTCCTAGAGCTGAGAGCGTGGGGACACGCTGTGCTCTGCAGGCCGGGCCCTCTGGCCGCGACCACGTGGTGCTCACCGGCCCCGCAGGGCCAGCTGAACTCTGGGAGCTGGTGTGGGAGCATGGGGCCTGCGTGCTGGTCTCCTTGTGCCCACCAGACCCCCAGGAGGAGGTGAGGGGCAGGGCAGAGAGTGGGCCGCCGGGGGCTGGAGTGGGGCACGGAGTGGGCCACGGCGGGGTTGGGCCGGCTGGCCGAGCAGCCCAGATGGGTCCGCCACAGGAGTTCTGGCCCACGGAGACGCAGCCTGTTATCACGGACGCGGTGACTGTGCGCTGGGTGGCAGACGGCAGTGCTGCAGGCTGGCCCTGCACCTTCCTTCATGTCACACATGTAAGCTGGGCTGCGGGGTGGGTGGGGGGGCTCTCCATAGAGCCGCCCGGACCACCCCCCGGCAGCGGTGCCAACGTCTCTGCCAAGAAGGTGAGCGGGAAGGAGAGACCAGTGCAGCGGCTGCAGTTCCCGTGCTGGGAGCCGGGCCAGGCGCTCCCCACCGAGACCCTGCTGCCCTTCCTGGCTGCTGTGGGCCGGTGCTGCTCCCGGGACACCGAGCAGCCAGGCACGCTGCTCAGTCACTGCAGGTGCAGCTGGACAGGGCTCTGGGGGGTGGGCAGAGCACGCACGGCCTCCCGGCTCGGGGCAAGGGCCAGAGGACACAGCCCCCCTCGCTCTGTGCCGACACGCTCTGGGAACCCGTGCCCCTCTGCCTGGGCCCAGGCTGGCGATGGCTCTCCTGGGTGTCCCTCCCTGGTGCCCCGGCCCAGGCCCCCAGTTGCCCCTCCAACTTGAGGTAAATTGCACCGAGGGTGCAGCCCAGCTGGGCACCTTCCTGGCCCTGGAGCAGCTGCTGCAGCAGGCAGGGACTGAGGGCGCCGTGGACGTCTTCACTGTGGCCTTGCAGCAGTCGCAGGCCTGCGGCCTCATGACCCCAACGCTGGTGAGTGGCCCCGGGGCTCAGCCTCGGGACGGGGAGGGGGGTACGGGAGGGGTCCGCCCCGGGCCATCCGGGGCCCCCCGCTCTCCGTGGAGGCCGTCCTTCACCGCGGCCCCCCGCCCGCCCCCAGGAGCAGTACGTCCACCTCTACAGCTGCCTCGACAGTGCGCTCTCGGAAGGGCTGCCGTGAATCACCCAGTCCCTGCTGTGTGGGAGGCCGTGCTGGCCCGGCAAGCCCACTGCGGCCCAGCTTCCCCGGGAGGGCGGCCTGCACGCCAGCCCCATGCTGTGAAGGGCAATAAACGGTGTGGTCAAACCTGAGACTGAATGTGTTCTGTCCGGGGAGACTGGGAGATGGGGGTGCTTTCAGCCTGGCCTTGCCTCCCGCCGTGACTCTGCCCAGGGTAAGCGCTGGAGTGTGGCTGCTCCCCGGCCACAGTGGCTGGGTTTCGTGTGCCCCTGCCCTCCACCAGTGAGGGAACCTGGGCAGGAGAACCAGGAAGGAGGGCACAGGTGCCCACCGCGGTGACACCATTGCTCACAGCCTCAGCGGGGCCGGCTGGGGGGTCCTGCATCGACTGCAAGGCCCTGAACGGCTCCTGGGGGAGAGCCTGGGGGACACAGAGAGGCCGGACAAGGCAAAGCAGGAGCCTCAGTGGGGGCAGACCTGGAGGCGGGGAGGGGCGGCACCCAGCTCCTGGTAAAGGCCTGTGGGACAGGAGCAGAGGCAGGGGCCTCCCCAGGATGGGGTGCAGCTCTGGGGCCCCGGGGCTGGGTCACATGCTCTTCACACGTGCGTTTATCTGGAGTGGGACTGGCCCTCCAGAGGCTAGAGACTCACTCTGAGCCCCCATCCCCCACTGCCCAGGGGCCACAGGGCTCCCGTGGCCGGAGCTGAAACGCCGACCACCCAGGCCTTCCCAGCGGCTTGTCTACAGGGCCGTGCCCACTGCGAGGCTGAAGGTCGGGTCTCCCCCTTCCTGGCCCAGCTGTGCCACCCCCGGGCCTGGCGGGGAGGGCACTAGCGAGAACGGGAGGGGTGGTGACCAGCCCTGGGGTGCAGCGGTCCTGGAGGAAGGACCCCTGGCCGCCTCGAGGCCTCAGGCGGCTGCTGCTGTACACTCGGGGGCGGCGGGAGACCAGAAAGCAGGAGGGGCCGGAGTTACCCCTGCCAGCGGGGTCTGGCCCCCACAGGTGACCCAGCTTCAGCCGTCCGCTCTGTCCCTCGGGCCTTGGGCCTGGCCTGGCCGGCCGGATTGGTCGAGCCGCAGCTGCTGGACTGGCCTCTGGGGCCTGGGGGTGCTGACCCACCAACACTCAGGTTGGCTCTGACGACCAGGGGGTCACCAGCCTGGCCCCATGCCCGGCTCTGTCAGGCAGGAAGCAGGTTGAGAACTCCCAGCCTCACAGCCACTGGGCAGTTGGACATCACCCTTTCGGTGGCAACCTGGGGCTTCACTGAAGACCGCTCGTCGCGGCCCCAGTGGCCGCCTTGCAGGTTCCGACCCCTCACTGCTGGGCTCTGAGGAACACCCACCGCACCCCTCCACGCCCTCCCCGGGTGCGGACGCGGCTGGAGCTCCACGTCTGGGACTGTGGAGGGTGTGGGGGCCCTACCCCGGCCCAGGGATGAGCTTGAACTAAGCCCGTCCCTCCTGGGTCCCAGCTCCCTGCGGTGGGAACGGTGCTGGAGGGGCTGTGGAAACGCTCGAGGTGTCCCGGGGAGGGGCTGTTCCATCCCCCACCCCCCGCTCCCAGGCGGTCCCCCAGGGAGGAGGTCCTGCGCCCAAACGCCCGCAGGTATGCGCTCCAGGCTGTTCGCTTTTTCCTTTCCTGGATGAAACTCCTGCCACTTTGGGAGGAAGAGGAGCGGGCAGGCGAGCTTTCCCTGACTCCTCCTCCGCGGCCTCGCCCTCCTTTGCCAAGCCCAGCCCGCGAAGCCGGGAGCAAAGACGCGAAGCCTGCGCCTGTCCGACCTCGCGCCCCGCCAGCGCCGCGCAGAGCCGGCAGTCCCGCCAGGTGCCTCCGCCGCGGGCAACAGAGATGCCCCGCGCGCTCCGGCTCCTGCCGCTGTGGCTCTGCGCCGCGGCGCTCTGCGCCCCGCCGGACGCCCCCTCGCCAGCCGCCCCGGGCGCCCCCCCGCCCCGCCCGCGGCCCGTCTGTCCCGCTCCCTGCCGCTGCCGCGAGGCCGGCATCCTGCTGTGGGCGGACTGCTCCGAGCGCGGGCTCTCCACGGTGCCGGCGGGCCTGGACCCCCTGACCGCCTACCTGTGAGTACCGCGCGCTTCCCCGGCACCTGCGTCGCTGCGCGGCCACCGCGGTTGGAGCCCCGGGCGCGGCAGCCCCTGCCAGTCCCCGGCTGCTGGGCTGCGGGGCGAGGGTGGGGCAGCGCGCTCCCAGGCGGGCAGGGCTGGGGGCTCCCCTGGCTCGTTCCCACTTGGCCCCGATCTCGGGGCTTCACGATAGGGGCCCCGCCTGGGCAGAGGGGAGTGCCCGAGCCCCAGGCGGAGGGGCCAGGCCCGGCGGCCCCTCGTCCTCCTGCTGCTTTCCCCTCGGAAGAGCAGCACCCAGGGCAGTGGTGGGGCGACGTGGACAGGCTCGGTGGGGCAGAGGGCGGGCCCTGCGGGGCACGAGGCCAGCAGAGCTGTCCCCCGAGCTGGGTGGCCTTGGTGGGGCGACCGAAGGTGGGGTCCACGCAGCGAGCGGCAGACACACAGCTGTGGGCAGTGCCCAGGGCTGTCCCTGGCCTGGGGAATCCGGGTGGTATTGAGTCCCTACTTTGTTCAGGAAGCAGGAGGGGAGCAGCGCTGCTTGGAGAAGATCGGACCCCTCAGCCCGCGTTTCCACCACCTTCTGCCACCGTGGCTGCGGGCCCCCGCCCCAGAGTGGGCAGCGGTGGGCTGTCCTCCCGAACCCGGGGCTCCTTGGCGTCCCCACGGCTCAGGCTCTGGCTCCTTCTAGGGTCTTCGAGGGCACCCTCTGGCTGGCCGCTCCCTGTGCATCCAAGTGTCCTGATCTGACCTCTCGCCTTCTCCCCATGTTAGCGAGACTCCTGTCCACTCCCCCCCACCTCCAGTTCACAGCTGGCTGGACCTCGAGCCCGAGGCAGCCGAGTCCTGACCGAGGCCAGCGCCTCGAGGCCACCTCCCCTCCTCCCCCCACGGCCCGAGGGGCAGTTTCCCTCCCGCCGAGGCTCCAGGCTCTCCCTCACACCCCCTCCCCACCCCAGACACCGACAGGAGGCAAGACAGCTGCTCGGGACTTGTCGGTGCTCAAGACTTTACCGGGCAGGTTCCTGCCTCCTTGGGCCCCACTTGCTGGAGGGCTGCTGTGATGACCCCTGACCCTGACGGAAGGAAGATGATGGGCAGTCCGCGCCATCCATCACTGCCGGGGGCGGGGGGGGGGGGCGCGGCGGAAACAGGTCGGAGGCGGGGTCACAGCAGAGCAGGGCTGGAGTCATCTGAGCTGGTTACCTGGGCCCGTTGCCTACCTGTGAACCGCACTCAGGCCTGCCTCACAAGGACATGGTCTGGATTCACTGAGGCAATGTTCCTAAAGTGTCTGGCACAGTGCCTGGCCCCTGGGGAGAGCCTGTTGTTAGCAGTGTTGTTATTAGGGTGGCCAGGGCCAAGAAGTGTTCGTCAAGGAGGTCTTCCTGGAGGAGGAAGTGTGGGGTTAGCAGGGGGTGGGTGGAGAGGTGTGGGGTGCGTGTGCATGCCTGGTGGAGGCTGAGAGGGCAGAGAGTAGGCGCAGGGGGCTGCGAGGACCCCCTGGGGCCTGGGCGGGCTTTAGCTTTTTCCTGGCAGGTGGGGACGCAGAGACTTGCGGTGTGTGGGCGGGAGCAACGGCTGGGAGACCCCAGGGGCCACTGGGGGCAGGCCGGGAGTCTCGGGAGGAGGGCGGGCGTGTCGTGTCGGGCCCACGCCCCAGTTCAAAGGAGAGGCGGAGGCAGCCCCAGGCGAAATAAAGAGGAAATGTCTGGGGTGGTGGGTGGGGTACTGGTGGAGGAGAAGAAAGGCTGGCTGGGGGTGCCGCCCCGCCCTGAGGGCCCTCTGCCCGCCGGCTCCCCTGCAGCAGCACTTATGTGCGGATCATGCCCGCCGGCTGAGCCAGGCGGGCGCGGTGCCTGGAGGCCCTGCCCGGCCTGCGCCCTGTCTCAGCCCCTCTGCTCATGGCCTGCAGCTCAGCCCCGCACGGCTTCCGACTGTGGCTCATTCGAGGACGGTCCTGTGCACAGCACCCAGGCGGGAGGGCTGGTGGGAGGCGCCACCGGGTGGAGGGGCCAAGCCGGGGGCCACTCGTGTCGTTGCTGTGCAACGTTGACGGCGGGTCTTGTTTTTCTCAAGCCTCAACCACCAATGGCCTGCTGAGCCCAGGAAGGACGGCAGACCCGCCTGTGACGGGGGAGCTCTGGGGTCTGGGCTCTGGGGCCCGAGGTGCTGCCCGTGTTCCGACCCCGTCCCCAACCCCCCAACCCCATGAGCATCAAGCCCCCGCCCGGGGACCTCAGCTCAGTGCCTTCCCCGAGCCTGCTTTGCTCTTGGGCTCCTGGCAGGCAGGCGCTGGGGGATGGAGGAAATGACCGGTCTCCCGTGGTACCTGGAGGAGCTGGGTACCCGGGGATGTTCCAGGAGGTAGGGCCGGGATTCCAGGTGACTGCGGTCTGCAGGATCCAGCTTCTGCGAAGAAGCCGCGTTCCGTGGAATGAGTGGGTCCTGAGTGCAGCACTGGGGCGGGCCGAGGGGCAGGCTCTCCTGCCCCAGGACAGACCTGGGGGTCTCTGAGGACCCTGACGGTCCCCAGGAGCAGGGCTCTGGGCACCCAACTGGGCTCGGACCCCTTGGGAAGCTGCAGGAGACAGCGACGGGAGACATTCCCACCCTCTGCCCCCAAGCTGGAAAAGACAAGGCTTTTGAGCCCAACTGAAATGGACTCACTGACTCGGGGCTCTTCTATGGCGGGGGCCCCTGTGTGCTCACTAGTCCCCTGATAAGGGGGTGGCTCCCAGTGGCTGACACCAGCTCAGGCTCGCCTCACCCGCAGACGTAGGAGAACAGGTCTCCGAGGGGAACAACACCCCAGAGGCCAAACCTGGGCAGAGAGCAGAGAGTTGTTCTGGAACCTGCAGGAGGACATGGTGCAGAGGAGAGCTGGGGGCTGGCCTTGTGACCCCTAAGCCATGCCAGC